TGACACAGCCTACTGTGAAACATGCTACTGTGATGCAACCTACTGTGACAGAGCCTACTGTGACATACCCTTCTGGTCACACAGCCTACTACTAGACATTCTACTGAGACACAGCCTACTGTGACACAGCCTATTGTATCACATCTGACTGTGTCACAGCCTATTAGCCACAATCGACTATAACACATTCTACTGAGACACAGCCTACTGAGATACAGCCTTCTGGTCACAAAGCCTACTGTGACACATCCTACTGTGACACAGCCTAATTTATCACATCTTACTGTGTCACAGCATAATAGCCACACAACCAACTATAACACATTCTACTGAGACACTATATACTGTGACAGCCTACTGAGAAAAAGCCTACTGTGACACAGCCTTCTGGTCACAAAGCTTACTGTGACATATCCTACTGTGACACAGCCTATTGTAACACTTCTTACTGTGACTCAGCTTATTGTAACACCTCTTACTGTGTCACAGCTTACTAGACACACAGACTATTATAACACCTTCTACTGAGACACAACCTACTGTGACACATTCTACTGAGACACAAACTACTGAGACATAGTCTACTTTGAAACAGCCGATTGGTCACACAGCCTACTATGACAGTCTCCTGGTTACTAATTCTACTGTGACACAGCCTAGTGTCACGCAGCCTACTGTGAAAAATTCTACTGAGACACAGCCTATTGTGAAACAGCCTACTGGTCACACGGCCTACAGTGACACATCCTACTGGCCACACAACCTCTTGTGACAGATCCTACTGTGACACAGCCTATTGTAACACATCCTACTGTTATATAGCCTACAAATCATACAGTCTAGTAGGACTCATCCTTCTGGTCACACAGCTTACTGTGACAGTCTACTGATTACATATCCTAATGTGACACAACCTGCTTGCCACACAGCCTACTGAGCTAGCCTACTGAGACAGCTTACTGTTCTCACATTCTACTTGTCTCACAGCCTACTGTGACACAGCCTACCATGACAGAGTCTACTGTGACACAACCTTCTGGTCACACAGCCTACTACTAGACATTCTACTGAGACATAGCCTACTGTGACACATCCTACTGTGACACAGCCTATTGTATCACATCTGACTGTGTCACAGCCTATTAGCCACAATCGACGATAACACATTCTACTGAGACACAGCCTACTGAGACACAGCCTTCTGGTCACAAAGCCTACTGTGACATCCTACTGTGACACAGCCTATTGTAACACTTCTTACTGTGACTCAGCCTACTTGCTACACAGCCTACAATAAACATTCTACTGAGACACAGCCTAATGTGACACATTCTGCTGAGACACAGCCTTCAGTGTCAGCCTACTGAGACACAGCCTACTGTGACACATCCTACCGGTCACACAGCTTACTGTGACACAATCTACTAGTTACATATCCTACTATGACATATCCTAGAGTAACACAGCCTACTTTGACACATTCTATTGAGCCATAGCATACTGAGACACAGCCTACTGTGACACAGCCTATTGTGACACATCCCACTGTGACAACGCCTATTGTAACACATCTGCTGTGACATAGCCTATCATTCTCACAGCCTACTTTGACACATCCTACTGGTCGCACAACTTACTGTGACACAGTCTAGTGGTTACATATTCTACTGTGACAGCCTATTGTCACACAGCCTACTGTGACGCATCCTACTCATCCACTTTCTACTGAGACACAGCCTACTGCGACATAGCCTACTGAGAAACTCTACTAAGATACAGCTTACTGTGACACAGCCTACTATAACAGCCTACACTGACACATTCTAATGTAACACAGCCTACTGGTCACACATCCTACTGTGACACATTCTACTGAAACACACGCTACTGTGACACAGCCTATTGAGACACAACCTTCTGAAACACACCTTACAATGACACAGTCTTCTGAGACCCAGCCTAGTGTAGCACCCACTACTGTGACAGCATACTGAGACAGCCTACTGTAGCACAGCCTCCTGGTATCACAGTCTACTGTGCAACAGCCTACTGTGACACAGCCTACTGGAACACATACTACTGTCACATAGCCTATTGTACAACATCTTACTGTGACACAGCGTACTGTCCACACAGCCTACTTTAAAACATTCTACTGAGACACAGTCTACTGTGACACAGCCTATTGTCACACAGCCTACTGTGACACATCTGACTCTACCACATCCTACTGAGACACAACCTACTGTGACCTTCTATTGAGACACAGGCTTCTGTGACACAGCCTACTGTAACAGCCTAATTTCACACATTCTACTGTAACACACCCTACTGGTCACATATCCTATTGTGACACATTCTACTGAGACAGCCTACTGTGACACAGCCTACTGGTCACAGCTTACTGTGACACAGTCTACTGACCACACATTCTACTTGATACATTCTACTGAAACACACCTTACTGTGACATAGCCTATTGAGACACAACCTACTGTGACACAGCCTATTGTCACACAGCCTACTTTGACACAGCCTACTGTCACACAGCCTACTGTGTCACATCCTACTCTTCCAAATTCTACTTAGACACAGCCTAATGTGACACAGACTACTGAGACCTTCTACTGAGACACAGCCTTCTGTGACACAGTCTACTGTAACATCTTACTTTGACACGTTCTACTGTAATACACCCTACTGGTTACACATCCTACTGTGAAACATTCTACTGAGACAGCCTAGTGTTACATAGACTACTGGTCACACAGGCTACTGTGACACATCCTACTGGTCACACACCATACTGTGACACTGTCTACTGAGACACAGCCTACTGTAACACCCTGTACTGTGGCAGTCTACTGAGACAGTCTACTGTACCACACCCAACTGGTCTCATAGCCTACTGTGACACAGCCTACTAAAACATATCCTACTGTAACACAGCCTATTGTACAACATCTTACTGTGACACAGCGTACTGGCCACACAGCCTACTATAACACATTCCACTGAGACAGTCTACTGTGACAGCCTACTGTGACACAGCCTACTGCTCACACAGCCTACTGTGACAAATTCTACTGAGTCACAACCTATTGTAACACATCTTACTGTGACACAACCTACTGGCCACATAGCCAATTATAACACATTCTACTGAGACACAGCCTACTGTGACACATCCTACTGTAGCACAGCCTATTGTAACACATCTTACTGTGACATAACCTACTGGCCACATAGCCAATTATAACACATTCTACTGAGACACAGCCTACTGTGACACATCCTACTGTAGCACAGCCTATTGTAACACATCTTACTGTGACACAACCTACTGGCCACATAGCCAATTATAATACATTCTACTGAGACACAGCCTACTGCTCACACAGCCTACTGTGACAAATTCTCCTGAGTCATAACCTATTGTAACACATCTTACTGTGACACAGCCTAATGGCCACACAGCCAATTATAACACATTCTACTGAGACACAGCCTACTGTGACACCCACTACTGTGACAGCCTATTGAGACAGCCTACTGTAGCACATTTTACTGGTCACACAGTTTACTGTGACACAGTCTACTGGCCACACATCCTACTGTGACACATTCTACTGATACACAACCTACTGTCACACAGCCTACTGCCACACAGCACACTGAGGCACAGTGTACTTTAACAGCTTGGTGAGAGCAAGATTTTGGTGGGTCGTCCTAATTCACACACACAGTGACTTTGAACTATTGGCCAGTGTCTACTGGAGAAATGACAGGAGGTCATTCTTGGTCTTGTTAGAGAAGGACCATGCTGGCCTTTGGGTCTGGGAGCAGGCACTCCAGAACTCAGGATTGGGCTTGCCCCGTGAAAACGTGCCCGATCCAGACGTCTGCACTTCATCCTTTGGGTTTGTTTGGAGGGACAGGCAGGACGGGATCGCTGGCAGAGAGCACTCAGGGTGCAGGGCTGGAGCACTTGCTGCTCGGGTACCCCAGCTAAGAGTGCTTCCCCTCATCCCACCGTGTCAGCTCTCATGGCAACACTCCAGAGGACTGAGTGCACAGGGAGTTCCCGGGGGCTTACACCACCGCAGGGACTTCCGTAGAGCACGCCATACAAGCAGCTCACCAAACAGCACTTTGTGCCTACATGCCAAACCCCCTGCGAAGTGACGAGTGCGAGAGTGACAGTGAGTGGCCCGGCCCGCGAGACCTTGAGGCCACAGGGAGGAGAGTGGGCAGCGAACCCTGAGGCACAGGCTCGGCTGTGCATAGATTTGGTTTTGTTATGGAGAAGAGCTGGTGGGCACTCACCAAACACATGGTATCTCTATACTTTCCAGAGGCGCTGCCCTGAACCCTAAAACTGTCAAGCGTGCAGGACAGACAGCCGAGCCCTGTGGGCTGTTGCTTCATAATTCCCATCTTCACGCTCAGTGCTGACAATCTGTTCCAAGAAATGCACCATCCCTACTATTGCTCTGTCTTGTTACTGACTCTATTCTTTCTCCCGGAGAAGGCTCTTGCTCCGCAAAGGCAGCCAGGGATGGGATCCAGAGCTGGAGGGACCAGCGGGGTCAGCTGAGGGGAACACACCCGGACGGGCCCAGTCCCGACCTCTTGGCTCTGCCGTCATCCTTCAAGAGCAGAGGACACCTCGCCACTAGCTCCTGACTTCCATGCCTTTAGGTGCTAGTTGCAGCTCTCTCATCCCCCAATCTGGGATGTGAACACGGAAGCCAACAGAGCCAGGTGCTGGTGCCCCACCCATTCTAACACCCCTGCAGAGCAAAGGCCCGTTCCTTCACTGGGCTCTGCACACACATTTCTTTCTGTTGAATGTTCACGTCCTGCCCTTGGTCCAACGCTGGGGAACTCCCCGGCCTCTAGGTCACCAGGTTGTGACAAGTGATTGCAACACAACCTGGCACTGATCACATGAACCGGAAGCCAGACCTCGGCGCGGAGGCAGACAGAGGGCCACTTACAGAAACAGCTCCTTCTGGTGTGGGTCTCCCAGGTTGAACTGTTTTTTTCTTATAAGTTCAAAAAACTCTCCCCGTCTCCTTGGAAAGAAAGAGAAACATTGGTCATTCTGAGGAGCCCTTAGGCTTATTTTATCCCAAGGTCTACAAAGAATCATTGACTCACTTTTTTGGGGGGAAATCTCCAATGGATTTTATCCATCTTAGAACCCAACATAAAAATCATCATTTAAAAATTGTGAGTACCTCCCTTTTCCTCCTTATAGAATCTTCTTTGGGTGAAGCATTGAACCTCACTGTGCAGATCATTGATACTGGTAATCTCATTCCTAAACACAACTTCATGAAAGTGAGACGGCCTGGCCGGCACGGCTCAGTGGTTGAGCATTGACCTATGAACCAGGAGGTCACGGTTCTATTCCCAGTCAGGGCACATTCCTGGGTTGCAGGCTCCATCCCCAGTGGGGGGTGTGAAGGAGGCAGCTGATCAATGATTCCCTCTCATCATTGATGTTTCTATCGCTCTCCCCTGGTTGGCATCTCAGGAAGCCATGATGCCAGACACCAGGAAAACAGAGAGCTTATGGAACAGAATGGATGGCCTGCGACTGAGAACCAGCAAGAAAACGCCGGTTCCAGAGAGACCTGTGGCCCGGGAAGGTTACAGGTGTTGTGCTAATTCTTAGTTAGGTGGCCATCTTTACCATCATGTGGAACCAGCTGAAATGAACTCAGTTCTCTGTTGTCCTGGCTGGGGTTAAGGTGCTCCCTAATCAGGGAAGCAGAGACACCAGCGGCAGCTCCCTCTAGGTGCACACGCTCCTGTGTTTGCTGTTTGTGCTGACTTCCCATCAATGGCCTACATGCAGGCGTGACTCCCCACATGGGGGAGAGAGGCCACATGTCCAGGGAAATCACGTGAGTGGGACCATCTTCTCCTCTCACTGCTCCACGATGCACAGACCGGGGTCCCGTGTGCAAACCACAGCCTGCTCATGCGGTGCAGCACACGTCACCCATGAATGCACGCTACGTCCTGAGCCAGTTCTACATTCCCTTCTCTAAGAACTGCACGCAGTCCTAGGATCCGGACGTGGCCCCACGTGGAACAAGGCACACTCTTCCCACAGCCACTCAGCACCGGGTGCTGGTGAGACTCACTTGATGTACAGCGCCAGGTCTGTGGCCAGGATGGCCTGCTTGATGATCTTCAGCGCAGTCTTATACTCCTCGATGGAGAGCCCGCTGAGGATCTGGTTCCCCTTCACAAGAGGAGAAAGCCATCGTCAGCACCCCATGGAGCACCCCGCAAGGACTCAGCAGAAGACGTGGTCACAGACAGACCACGGGCCGGGGGTTTGGAGTCGTACACACGGGCCACCCGCTTCCTGAGAGTGAATGCCTGATGCCACCCTGTCCTCTGCTCCCTCGGCCTGGTCTCCTAGGAAACGCCAGCTTCCTGCCTTTCTGCCCACTGCCCAGACCCCGGGCCTCTGTCCAGCCTACATGCTAACTATCTGGCTATGGGCAGCTTGCTTACTGCACTGCAACTGCAAGTGAAGTTTGAAAGCCCAAAGCTACACTAATGAAGAATGGAATGGTGAAACTTCTGAACAAGTGATGACTAACACATTTTCTCTCTCTATGGCATTTGTAATAAATCCAGTGACACGTGGACACACATTTGTGTAATTTTAACTTAATATCGAGAGCAGCGCGTATTCCCAGTGGGAAGGATGCACAATGTGAAACCAAGAAGGACTCTAAAAGGGACTGATCCCGGGCAAACACTCCAGCGCTGTCGCTGCATAACCATTGTGTCCTGGTGCCTGGGGTTCAAAGCAAACCTCTCGTCCTGAACCAGGTAAAATGTGCCTCGGTTCTCAGAATAAACTCAGCATCTGCACGGCCCCAGGGCTGAGGGGAAGCAGCGGCTCAGGCTGGGGCCCGGGCAGCAGATGCTTCTGAACACGGGGCCCTTGGGGTGCCGGGCCCGGACAAGACCTCGCTTAGCGGAGAGCTGGAGGCTGGACTGGAATCAGCATATCCCTAACTGATAAGTCTGGTATCACAGTCATAAACATTCCTTAAAAATAGCAAACCAGCCCCATTTTAGGTTCTGGGCTGAACAGAAAACTGTTCAGAAAACACCTTCTGGTACTTCCATTTAGTGTAAGGTCAAAGCATTTCCAGGGGAAAGGCCCTGCCTGAACGGCAATGTCTCCGGTGCTATCTGTATACCCCCTTCCCCAGGCAAAGGCTGTAAACCCCTGTGTGTGGGGCGCCTCCAAGGATGAAGTGTGGGGGTGGGGGTCTGCCTCAAGGTGTGGGACCTGCCGTAGGAGGATGTCCTGGGCACCGGCTGCTCACGGCAGCTGTAACTCATGCTTCTCATTATAATGTCATTCGTGCACACAACAGATCATGTGAGTAACGGAGGAACAGAATGAGAAAATAAAAAGTATTCCCTCGGCAAAAACAACCATTGCTAACAGGTCAGCGTATGTGTCCTCAAACTTACTTCCCTCCATAGAAATACGTCTAGCGTAGCATGTCAAGTGCTTTCTCACACTGATAAACACCCATCATGTTCTCACACTGATAAACACCCACCTCCACCAGGCTGTTGAACAGCTCATCCCGTAACAATGTGTTTGTGGTCAGAAGTTTTAGTAAAAAGAGGAAAAGGTTCTTGAGTGCTATATCACCCACTTAATTTTACCAAAAAACAAAAAACAGAGTTAACTGAGAGCCAGAAAACACCAGCTTTGCTTGTCTCTGAACAATGTGGAGTAATGAAGTAAGCAGACCCTTTGTCGGGCAGCTGACAGCTTAGGGTGCACAACGGTGAGGCTGTAGGGCCTCGGCCTTCCATACCCAGAAAAGAATGATGCACACTGGAGAACTGTGGTCCTGGGCCTGAACCAAACACCTAACACACACACACACACACACACACACACACACACACACACACCCCGCGTTTACGCAGCCTCGGGCAGCGCGCTCTGGGCCTCACCGGGCTGTTGAGGACCATCAGGCACTGGTCAAAGTGGTGGTGCTCCAGGGTCGAGTGGCAGTACAGCTGGGCCAGTGGGTGCTCGCTCCTGGGGGGAGTCGCAGAGAGAGGGCTCAGAGAGGACGGTCAGGCGCCACATGCTGGGCGGTCACTCTCTTCTCATTTGCTACCTAAAAGAGAGGCTAAAATCCCTCAAACCGACCACTCTCTCCTTTGGCTGGGAAGAGAGGGAGGTCATCTCTGGGAAATAAGTATAAAGAGTCAGGCTGTTCTGAACGGCTGGTTCAAACTGTGAACAACCCCATCGATTTTCGTACTGAGGCCAAAGTACTAATTTCTCTAGACATGAAAAGAAGATCCCTGAGTCTTGTACTAATAATTGTTTTCTTCTTTAAAAAAAATGTGTGTGTATATATATATATATATATATATCTCTGATTTTTTACAGAGAGGAATGGAGAGGGATATAGAATTAGAAACATTGATGAGAGAGAAACATCGACCAGCTGCCTCCTGCACGCCCCCCATGGGAGATGTGCCCACACCCAATATACATGCCCTTGATCGAAACTGAACCTGGGACTCTTCAGTTTGCAGATCGATGCTCTATCCACTGAGCCAAAGTGGTTTTAGCCCAATAATTGTTTTCAATGTCAAGCCTTTAATTCACTTCCCTGAGGCCACAGCTCCTCAGAGCACCTGCTGAGCACCTGATCGCAAGGCCCTTCCCAAGTATCACCTTGTCTGTCAGGGCAGAGTGTTACCTCTGCTGAATATAGTCTTTAAAATTTCCTCTGAAGCCCTAATTCAACCTAAAGCAAAATTCTTGGCAATTATCTCATGGAATAAGATTCTCAACATAAACATTTTCCCACTTTAGGCCAGAAATGTTACCAACACAATACCAGACTTGCATTCCCCTCCCTCTCCCCATATCCTTTAAATAAAATCAGCCCAGCTGGCGTGGCTCAGTGGTTGATTATCGGCCTATGAACCAGGAGGTCAGGGTTTGATTCTCGGACAGAGCACAGGCCCAGGTTGAGAGCTCTATCCCCAGTGTGAGGTATGCAGGAGGCAGCCAACCCATGATTCCCTCTCATCATGGATGTTTCTCTCTCTCCCTCTCCCTTCCTCTCTGAAATCAATTAAAATATATTTAAATAAAATCAGAGTAAGTTACGGGACCTTGACCGATGCACTTTTGCTGTGGGTTTTGCTTTAAGAAGGACCGCCCCGCTGCTGAACAGGACCTCCTGCTGTCTGTCGGGGCGGCCCCCTCACCGCTGGATGTAGGAGTTGTTCACGCCGCGGTGGTCCAAGTCGTGGCTCAGGGCGGCGACCAGCAGGGCCAGCACCTCCAGGTCCGACAGCTTGCTCTGCACAGCGGGCAGGGAGGAGAGAGAGAAGGACCCGTGAGGGTGCGAGGACACCTCTGGGCGACCTCAGTGCTCACACAGCCCTGCTGTGATGTGGGAGGTCCGCTCCGCAGGGGAAGAGCTGTGTCTCACACGCAGAGCGGGGCTAGCGCCAACGTCACTCACCTCCAGAGGGCGGACATGCCTCACCAACCACCTGCCCCCACAGCCAATGCCACTCCTTCCTACTGTCTCCGAATGCATGTGGGCTAACCACATGAACTCTGAATCCCAGCTTCTCTGGACGTTTAACCCCTATAGATTCCGTTGTTCCCATCTCTGCCCTGAGGGGCTGTGCCTAAGGCACCAGACAGTGAGAATACTTGGCAGAAGAATACACAAAAGGGGATTAGGAATGAAAAGTTGTCTTTAAAAAGTTACATAATAGCCTGGCTGGTGTGGCTCAGTGGTTGAGCGTCAACTGTGAACCGTGAGTAAGAGGTCGATGCCTGATCCAGGGCACATACCCAGGTTGCGGGCTTGATCCATCAGGAGGCAGCCCATCCAGGATTCTCTGTCATCACTGATGTTTTTCCCTCTCCCTCCCCTTTCCTCTCTCTGAAACCAATAAAAAAATTTTTTTAAAAGAAGTTACATGATATATTCCAAAGCTAATTCCAGGTTATTTCTGAGCGGCTGCCATTTGTATTCTCGGTACTACTGTTCTTCTTCATAAGAAAAACACAAATTGAAATTTCTATCAGCTCTCTTCTGCTGGAATTCTCAGCACTCTAAGTGGCACAGTCACAGCACACACACACTGGCATTTGACTTTTCCTTGCCAGAGCCCAGATAGCCTTCGGTGGTTTAACCCTCCGGACCTTCCCAGCCCTCCGACAGAAGTGGAGCCCCCTCCCCTGGGCGTTTCCCTCAGCAGGGAAGTGGGACTCTAACACGTGGCTCCGCAATAAGCCCTGCTCTTGGCTCTGGGTTAAAATGCGCCCCCTATGGGAGCAGAGAAGAACAGCAGCCACAGAATTCAATACTGTAATAACAAAGCATGGAAGCGCCCTGGCTCCTGTAGCTAAGCGGTTAAAGCGTGGGCCTTCACACCAAAGGGTTGTGGGTTCAGTTCTTGGTCGAGGGCACCTACTTGGGTTACAGGTTCAATCCCTGGGCCCGGTCAGGATGAGTGCAGGAGGCAACCTATCAATGTGTCTGTTTCTCTCTTTCTCTCTCTCCCCCTTCCTCTCTCTAAAAATCAAAACATCCTTTGGTGAGGATTACAACAACAAAAAACGCTCACCAGGCGAGCACAGCTCTGGATTGAAGAGCTCTGTGAGGGGCCTGGGCTCACGCACCTACAATGACTCGTTGGTTCCCACCGACATGGGGATCTAAGGACGGAGCAAAGCATAAAGCCTGGCCTGGAGGACCTGGCTGCTGGAACGGTGTCTGCATTGCTCTCTGGGCACAGGGTGTGGCCCACACACTTGTGAGCTTAACGGGGCAAAGAGAACCCGCAGCAGGGGCCTGGGCGCGTCTGTGTAGCCCCGCTCAGGACCCGTGTGGCGTGGATTAGCCCGGGGGAGCAATGTGACTGCGAGCAGGGGGCCGCTGCTGCCGCTTCCCTCTGAGGGTGGCCAGCTTCCCAAGCACCACTGGAATTTAACGGGGAGCTATTTAGAGAGCATGCCAACGTGCCATGTACATTCCACAGGAAAGGAAGTTGTCAAGCAAGTTCTTTGCCACCCTAGCCTTCTTTCCTGAAAATGCACTTTATTTTGTTACTGGCAACAAGCAATACCCTCAACCATCACCGAAGCAAAATGAAAAAAAATACTTGAGAGAATGTGCTGTAAACTTTGTCACGAGTACCTGGATCTTGCCCGCCTTCAGGGCGGCGAACATGCACTGTGCTGTGTTGAAGGCGTGCCGCCAGTTGTGGTAGGCCACGTTTTTCCGGTAATTCTTCTTCACGCTCAGGATCCAGCGGCAGAGGACCTGCGGGAGGAGAGCAGGCACTGGTCACACGCTCACCGCGGCCAGGCAATGCACATGCACAGCCACACCTGGCTCCGGGGGGCGGACACCAGGATGGAATCACCTAACAGACGCGGACACCACCACGCCGAGAGGGACCACGCTAAGGTCATGCGGCTCCTAAAGGGCGGGGCCCAAGTTCACACCCGAGCATCCGATGGCAGAGCCCAACCTGCTAACCAGCCAACTAACAGTGCTCAACGCAAGGCCGCCCTGGGGAGGCTGTGGGGCTGGAGGCACCGGCCAGCTTTCTGAAAGACACCGAGTCTACATGCCTTCAATGAGAGAGCCCCACGTGAGGAGGAGTTCCCCGTGGGAGAGCCACGCCAGCAGCCCCAACAGTCCTCCCAGGCGCCAGCCGCCTGCTGTGCGGCTTCAGTGCCAGGCTCGGGGCTGAAGGGGCGCAATTGGGCACACCCTGAGCTCCTGGTCCCTTTTCACCGGCTTGGATGCTCTGACAGAGGCACTGAGCGGTTACCAAGAAGCAATGAAAAAAGAACCCATGCGCCCCTTCCTCATGCTTCATCTGGAAGTTCTGCACCAGGGTGAGGTCAGTGAACATCCAGATAGTACACACACACACACTCACACATGTGTACACATGTGCACATGCTCTCGCACACACGTGTGTGCTTCATCTGGAAGTTCTGCACCAGGTTGAGGTCAGTAATATTCAGATGGTGCGCACACACACACACACACACACACACACGTGCACACACACACACAAACATGTACATATCACACATGAGCCTCACCTCGTGCTTCATCTGGAAGTTCTGCACCAGGTTGAGGTACACACACACATGCACACACCCTCACACGTGTACACACACACGCACACACTTGCAAACACACACACACGTACATATCACATGTGAGCCTCACCTCGTGCTTCATCTGAAAGTTCTGCACCAGGTTGAGGTCAGTGAACATCCGGATGGTGCACAGCGCCGTTTCCAGGTCCGACAGCTCGAAGTCGCTGAAGCCGAAGTCGGTGATGCGCAGGCTCTGGGCGGAGGGCACCACGGCCGCCTGGGGGAGGGACAGTGCGGGAGGCTCATGGCCTGGGCTTCGCTGCGGGAGCAGCGTGTGCTCTCCTCCGAAAGGGACACTCGGAGACCCTCATTGAGGCGCCAGGCGCAGGGAGAGGGTGCTGCCCGGAGGCTGAGCCCAGCACAGGACATGGCCGGGGCCTCCAGGGGGCCCTGCAGGTGGCCAGCTTGTTCAGACAGATGACTGAGTGGCCGTCCTGGGCCGTGCCAGGGCTGGGGGCGAGGATCGGGGGGCAGCGCAGCGAGGACTCTGAGCATTTCACGTTTCATTCCCAGGCACCCCCTCGGAGACACAGAAACTGAAGCACCGCCGGGGCTAGCCGCCTGCCCTGGAGACGAGCAGGCGCCCCCTTCCCCGGCCCCTGGGGGTGCTCACGGACAGGGCCCGGCTTCGGGTCTGGGCTGGGCCTGAGAAGCTGGTTTTGCTCGTGGCGGGACCTGCGTGCCAAAGCCCCCTCCCGCCCAGGCCCCCCCTTCGGTGCTGCTCCTACGCTCGTTAAATGCAGCAGCTGCACCAAGGCACCGAGCTCGCTTCCCTCGATCTCATCCACATCCTTCTCTCTCCTGGCGGGAGCTTCCCACCCACAGGAAGGGCAAAAGGGCAAAATGCGGCAGAGCTGACCCGGCTGGGCACACCCATTCCCTCCGCGAGGTTCTCGGTACGTGGTTTCCTGCGTCTCCTGACCACAGGGACCTGCGCTCCCGCTGTGACCGCCGGCGGCTGCGGCTGTGACTGCGCCCCAGGAAGGTCCATGGAATGGACACAGGGGCCCTCCTCCCCTCCACGGGGTCTGAGCCGTCAGCTTGGGCTTCAGGACCCCGCACCCCACAGAGACACCTCCACCGGGTGGGAAGATGCAGCTGGGAGCAGCCTGCGACCTCTCCAGTGTGGGACGGGAAGTTAGCAAAAATCACCAAATGGACGATGCTGTTAGAATTGGGGAGTTTAAGCAAAAACAAAGGGTTTCCGGTTTCTCCCTGGAAAGGCTACACGGAGCCCAACTCCCAGGAAGCCCCAGGGGGCCAAGGCCTCGGCTGAGCTGCGGGGTCTCCCCTAGACTTCCTGTGGGGCCTGAGGCCCAGGACCGGCCCTGACAGGAGTCCCCACGCCCCCTCCCCACCCCGGCTACCCCTCCAGCGCCTTAGCCGATGGGGCTCGGCGTGGAGAGGCCACAGGAAGAGGGGTCCCCCTACTCCCTCCAACGCCCAGGTTCCCTGTGAATAGCTGGGTGTCACTACTCTGCTCCACCTCCACCTTCTGTGAAGCAAAGAGGTGAAATAGTAAACCCCTCGGCGCAGTCAGTCCAGAGCGTTCCCTCCAAGAGGGCACCTCCCTTCTGCTCCCTGTGACCTTCATGTCGGACTTACACTCAGCAGGTGTGTTTATATTTCACACGCATGCCGCCTGCTTCGCCTGCACACACACTCTCCCACCCAAATGCCACGAGGAGGCATGCATCTGCCCCGTGAGTTTCAGACTGGGGACGGCATGGCTGTGAGGGGAGGGGCTGGATGTCACCAGCAGCCTCATCCGCACAGCTGGGCAGTGTATCACCCCCCCCCCCCTCCACACACACACCCAGCACCGGATGCAGCCATGTCCCCCAGGGTGTCTCTGTCTGTGAGCTGGAAGTATCCTTTGTTCCTTCCACGAGGATGCTCTAGAGCTGTGGTTGGCAAACTCATTAGTCAACAGAGTGACATATCAAGAGTATGTGAAGGAAAGAAGCCACATGCTAACCTGACAAGCTCAGAGGAGACCTGACAAACTGGCCTGGCAGTCTTGCAAACTCAGAGACCTAAAATAACCACAAAAGATGGTTTGAAAATTAAATATCTAACTACAAACAGGTTGTAGTGGGTATTCAAGTCCTAGGCCGATATTTTCCCTGACAAAGATCAACTTAGATCTTCTTTACTGAGCCCATTTGCCTTCCAGCCTCTAAGATAACATATCTGTGAGATGTCTGGGTAACTTGTAACTTCCCTTTTTCTGGAGCCCCTGGGGCACAACCAAATGTGGAGGGCGCCAGGACAGATGCCTCAGATTCCTTCTTTATCATGTTAATTGTTCCTGTACTCACCTAAGTGTGTGTCCATCATTTTACTTTTTATCCAATCCCAGGAGATTCCCACCGCTTTGCTTTCTTCTGCCTTCTTATCCCATCACCAATGAATTTCACGTAACCCAAATGTCCCTCCTTTGATTGCAATGTATAAATACAGATGTAACTCGCCATTCTCTGGAGCATCATCTCAATCCGTTGAGGTTCTGCTTCCCGGCAATGTCGACAGTTTGACTCAAATAAACTCACAAAAATTCTTTACAGGTTTCAGTGGTTTTTTTTTTGGTTTTTTTTTTGTTAACAACGATTGAAATTTCTTTTGAGAGCCGAAAACTGACTTCTGTGCATGGGCCACCAAGTTTCAATTGCACTGAGCATGTGCACCCGCATGTGGCATTCTGTGGAAGAGCCACACTCAAGGGACCAAAGAGCCACATGTGGCTCTCGAGCCGCAGTTCGCCGACCATGGTTCTAGGGCTACAGGAAAAGAGCCAGCCTCTCCCTGCTGCCCGCCAGGCCAGGGGTCGGCCCGACCACAGCCAGGTTTCCGAGCTGGCCTCCCGGGCAGGCGGCCACAGCACCCAGAGCCTTGAGGTGTTGGGTCAGTGATACGGAAGCTCAGGACTCTTGGGACCCAGGACTGAGCCGCCATGAGGAAGTCCCTGTCAGTTACAGCTCACGGACCATCCCGCTTCCTGTCCGCCCTGGTGGCTTGGAAAGGCGATTTAACCTCCGTTTTATGAAGCAAACTGCGTTTCACCAGGAGCAGGGAGGGCAGAGGGCACCCTTCCCGGGGCACACAGTTCTGCATTCCCACGTGTCCTGCAGCTAGAATTTGCCAGTGAGAGTCTGACTTTGTTTCCCTTCGGGGGATAATGCAGTTGAGTGCGCTATGGTGTTGGAGATGGACAGAAACCATGCCTTTTAAAGAGCCTGTAAAGCACCAGGCATCGGAGATGTGCCAGTCTCATCGCTGAGCACCCACTGCAAACCTGCCACCGCCACCTCCCGGCCCCCAGCCCGGCTCACTCCTCCATGGCTGCGGCCTCCAACTCCTGCAGAGGCGGGTCAGTGCTAGTGTGAGGGAGCCACACCCCCGGGGTTCAGGAAAACTGCTCTTGTTAGTCTGAAGCTGAAACGACAGACCGTTATTTAAAGCTACACCCCTGGCTCACGCTTGGCCAAAAGTTTGACCTCGGCCGTGGTTTGAAAACACTGCCTTCAGCCATCCTGCTCATGCACCGTCAGGAAAACAACCTTTGTGTCACCGGCCAAGTCCACGTCCACGGTGCCATGGGACGCCAGCTGATGGAGGAGGCTCTGGGGAGGCCTGTACCCAAGCAGAAGCCCACAAGCCGCCCAACAGCCACCGAGTCGCACCTCCCAGGAGGCTGACAGCTCCCCTCCCCTTCAACACGCATGGGACGCGTGCTTTTAAAGAAAACTCGCATACGGTGTGTTTACAAGGCCGTCAGCACCTCTCTTTCCGTGAGAAGGAAGTGAGTACATGCACAAATGAGAGAGGAAGCCCCTGTACATCGGCCCCACGTAGAGCCCAGCTGTCAGAGCGCAAAGAGAACGAGGTTCACCAGGATTCGTGTGTTTCCTTCAGTAACCACAGCAACGGACTCAAGATGGTCCCCTCTCTCTGGCATCATAAAGGTGATTCCTCTAAGTCTCAACAGGGCAGAGTCACAGACTACAAAGGCTGGATCATGAGTGTACAGTTTTTCATATAAAGAAGGCATGTAATAATGGCAAGATTAGGTGGAACTATGTGTATGCTTGTAAGGAAAACTTGAGAGTGAATTTGACTACAACTGGGCGGGTACCCACAGATCTGGGTGACATCTCCAGAACAGAGCTGTGGTATTTTGGAGCTAAGAACATCAGTAGAGCCCTGGCCTGTTTGGCTCAGTGGATAGAGCGCCGGCTTTTGGACTGAAGGGGCCCAGGTTTGTTTCCGGTCAAGGGCACATGCCCAAGTTGCAGGCTCAGTCCCTAATAGGGGGTGTGCAGGAGGCAGGCAATCAATGATTCTCTCATCATTGATGTTTCTCTCTCTCTCTCTCTCCGAAATAAATAAAACATATATTAAAAAAAGAATATCAGTAGCAATAATCCACTAGCAACATCAAAGCAAAACAGGATTAGCTTAGTGAATGAAAGAGGAGGAATCAAGCTGAAGCCGCTGTCTTATCCAGGTAACCAGCTGCAGCCAGTCACGCCCTGCACGTCTGTCTGTAAAAGATGACGCCTCGATGGCCTCCAGGGGTCTGAAGGGCCCGGTCTGTCCCAAGTGTGTCCCCAGCACCATGTGAGGAAGAGGTGTCTTCCCGGTCTCCATGGTTACAACAGTGCAGTGACACTGGTTAATAAGACCACAGCATCAACTCTTCTTTGTTATCGTTTGCTCCAATCTCTCCCTTAATTATTGGCTATTGATAGAGATTTTCCCCAAGAGGGAGGGGTGTGGTCATCTGACAGGAGGTGCTGGGTGGCACTGAACACTGACCGAGGCATCAGGGCTGTGGTCTTCCCCTCACTGCTGTCCCCTGCAGTGATCGCACCTCACACTGTGTCTGATGGCGGGATCCTCTCTGATCGAGGGATCCCCACGTGATGGAGGGCTCCCCCCGATGGAGGGCTCCCGCCTGACGAGGGGACGAGGAGTCCCCTCTTCCCCCCATGGAGGATCCCTGCCTAGTTCTGGCTCTGAATGCTGGGGCGATGTGGCCCCTGTCCTGGGGAACCTGCCTACGTGCTCAGCTGCTCCCTCTCCCGCTATTTGACAAGAGTCTCGACTCGCCTTTAGAGACGTTTCCCGCGGTTACAGAAGTCCAGCAGGAGCTGAATTGGCACCAGCTCCAGGACAGAACCGGAGCTTCGTTCACATCCTGAACTCCAGGACGTGCCCGTTCCTGTCCTTCTAACGAGAGGAAAAGGCAGAAATGCAGCCAGCCGATCCATCCAACACCCCATTACCTACATAGACAAACACCCCGTCTGCCCATCCATCAAACTCCCCGTTACCCACATAGACAAACACTGTGTGTCCGGTGACTTTCCAATGACCAGAGCCCGGTCAGCGGGGCGCCTCTGTTTCTATCTCAGTAACCAGGGCTATTAAAACGTCCGCGGCAAATGGGTTGCTTACGGCTCTATTTGTGCTACACCCAATCCTAAGCCAAGAGAGGATTAGATTAATAATAGGGAACTCAATAAATTAAAAAAAAAACACACACAAAAAACAAAAAACAAAACAAAAAAACCCTCAGGGAAAGCAGGCAGAGAAAATAAGGATTGTTAGTTTCCTATCAACAAAGTCATTTTCTATAAGTAGTGAGGTTTCCTGGCATAGGCATACGTGTTTAGTATTCTTAGTGCACTATTTCATTTTTTCAGATCTAATTTTTTAAAATAAAAGTTAAAGCTTGTGACAGCTTTTCCACTTATTTTAGGTTTAAGTTGGGATAAACAATCAGACACATGACAAAGCCAGCAATTTTGTAGTTTCTGGGGGACGCACACACCTGTGTCGGGGCTGCACGGGAATCGTTATGAGACTGAGAGAAAATGAGAATTGCAACCAGATGCTGAATTTCCACCAATTTAAAGAGTCCTTTGACCTCCCAGCTTTGCAACCCTGAATTTCTGAATGCAGCTGCCAGAAATCTATTTTCTGAATAGAAAACAGATGGTTTTGAACAATACTGCAATTTTTAGTCACTCCAATGCATTGTTCTTTTGCTAAAATTATGAACATAATTGAGAAAATAATTTTCAGGTTTTTCTGAAAGACTATTGCTATTTTCAAAGTGAAAAGCAAGTTTAATGGCCTGGTGTTTGTGTAGCAGGGTCTTTGGGAATTCCTCTCTATGCTAGTTGGTATTTATCTCAAACCACACAGGGTGGAGTGTAAGCGTGACCTCATTTTAGAGCCACTGGAATGACCTCCGTGCCACACACACCCGAGAGCGTGCCTTCTGTGGCAGGTCCCAGCCCACAGCGGGCAGCGGCCCCAAGGCCAGCGTTCTGGAAGGGCTAGCCACCAGGCCAACCGAGCCTGCGGTGAAGGAGTCTTCACATCCACAAACCTTTGCCAGTAATTGGGGGAAAAGCTAGTTTCTTCAGATAGCATCGAGAGCAAAGCAAATACAGCCAATTCCGATGGCTAACCCCAGGGCAGCCAGCTTCTTGGGAAAATCATCCCCAGCTCCTGATGCTCCTCCTCCTCATTCCTCTCTCCTCCGCAGATGGCTCAGCTCCTCCTCGGCCACAGAATCAGATCCAGCCCTGCCGCTCCCTGCCTTCCCGCTCACTCTCTCTGCGTGTGGGCAGGGGCTCGGGCTCTGGCCCGGACCGCCTGGGCTTACCCCGGCACATCTCTGCCAATGGGGCGGCCTGCATAGGATCCCCACAGGCTCAGCCTCCAGTTGCTTAAAAATCCCAGTAACAGCGGCGTGTGGAGTTGTTGTGGATTAAACACACAGCTAACACACACAAACTTCACACAGGCCATGTCGGTGGTAAACACTCCCTAAATGCAGTTTCTTCTTCTTACCCCCTTCCCCTGGTCTTGTCTAGGGGGTGGCTCTCGAATGCCCAGCCACGCCCAGGCCTGGATGGCGCCCCATCCCACTCTGGGCCTCACCCACCTGCTCCCTCCCTCTCTGTCCAAGAATGTGCTGGCCTCTTGCTCAGGAGCAATCCCTGCTCAGAAGCCCAAACAGAACCGAATTACAAACCTCCTGACTCAGCAGCACCCTCATCGCACCTCCTCCTCTCTCTTACACAGAAACTCGTCTGTAATGCCGTCTGCGTCTGCTCCTGTCTTCTCTTGTCCCCTCACCTGCCCTCTATCCCAGCGGCCTCCCTGCAGCCTCTAATGGCCTCACACCCCCTAGTCTGAGCCCGGCCTCCACCTCCCAGATCCTGTGCCTGCCTTCTGCCCTCCACCGCCTCCTGCTCAGCAGCCACGTCCATCCGTCCACCAGCCCAGCACTCTCTCCTCCTGCTCCTCCTGGTGAGCTTGTGCTCCCACGGTCCTGCCCGCCCTACCCTCCTGGACTGCTCCCCCCCCCCCCCCTGTCTTCTTCCCCTCCCGCTCCCCCCCCCCCCCCCCCCCGGCAAACCTGCCCTCCCACCACCCCGCACGGGAAACCACGCCTGGATGCCACGAATCCAGGGCCACCCCCCAGAATGCCGCCTCCTTGGGAGCCTAGTCCTCACTCCCCGCCGGTCGTGCTGTCCATATCCATCGGGGGCCGCAGCACCTAACCGCCCCACGTTCTAAGCCACATTGGCCGCCCTCCTCCTTCCCATTCTCGCTGGTTATTCAGGCACCTGCCTTCTCGTCAGGCTCACCTGCCTTCTCTCTGCTCACAGGGAGCGCCATGGGCTGTGCATGCCCCTGGGGGTGCACTGTGTTTCCTGCCACAGAGACCCTGACCAGTCACAGCCACCCTGAGTCAGCCATGGCCACCCTGAGCCAGCCACGAGCCAGCCATGGAGACCCTGACCAGCCATGGAGAAAGACCATGACCAGCCACGGCCACCTTGATGACTAGCCACGGCCACCCCAAGCCAGCCATGAGCCAGCCACAGATACCCTGACCAGCCACAGAGACCCTGACCAGCCACAGTCTCTCTAAGAACAGGGAGGCCTCTGTGGCCCAGCTGTGCAGTCACAGGAGAAAACGCAGGAGCTACCCAGAGGACTGGGCTTGGCGGTTTTGATGCTGATGACCTGGACAGAGAACCCCCGTGACTGGCCACACCCTTATCGCTCCTTACCTGACCCCCGTCACATCTCCCATGGACCCGATCCCTGAGGCCTCAAATATAAACTCAGAGGCCGGCCGTGGCTGCAGAGGCGGAAATGCCTCAGACCGTCATGGACCTCCACCAAGACAGAACCCAGAGCCCAGGGCACTCCAGCACGGCCCAAGCCTCCCCCCCTGCCCCGCTCACTGGAGAAAGGCACGGAGAAGCCAGGCCCTGGCTTGGGGGCCGATGCAAACCGCCTCACAGCCATGAGGGCAGAGGTGACATCGCTCAGGACACAGGGCAGGGCCTCAGTAACAAACCATGGCACCCGCCTTCATGACCCCAACCCCCAGCCACTTTGCAGCTGCCAGCCCCTCCCTTCTCCCTGGGAACTGAACCTGAGTTTACTGTTGACCTAAGACAGACGTGAAGATGAGAACAATTGTTAGAAAAAACCCAGAGCCATCGAATGCAGGACAAGGTCCATGGAGCTTACTATCTGCGCTTTGCATCGCCGGGGACGACAGCCGCAGGAAACGGTGGACTGCGTGTTGTGAGTGTAACCTAACTCTCCGCCCGTTTGGCACACTGTCTCGGGGCCCTTACTGGCAGGAGACACCCCCCGCCCCCCCGAAAGGCGTGTCTATGGAGAAGGTGCTGTGTCATTACCGCTAAGGCCTGCAGCTCCCGGGTCTCCTCCTCGGCGGCTGAGGCGTGATAGGACAGGACCTGCGGGGAAGCGGGGACAAGTTACAGACCAAGGTTCACACCGGGTGCCGCTCACACCTCCCGGAGAAAGAACTGGACCCCTCAGACCACCAAGCCTGGTTCTGGTTCTGTTTCCTTCAAAAAGAGGAACCCAGACTTCAATTCAGTTGTTCCGGGAAACAAAGTCAGATGCCCCCTGGCCCCGTGTCCAAAGAAAACGGCTCACTGCAGTCTGTTATATAATCATATAACAAACACATGACCTAAAGCCACACTACTGGCTCAAATCTGCAGACAATTTTGTTTCAACTGCGTGTGTGTGTTGTGTGTAAAATCCTGACTTCAGTTATTTGTGCTTGTGGACAGAGTTAGGGAAGCAACTTTTGTGAAAACTGACGTTTCGAAGCCAGAATCCGTGAAGACGGCGTGGCTGGGACAGGGAGGCCACAGACCCAGGGACGCGGGGCGCCCGGCGGAGCGGTGTGGCCTGGGGACCCGCCAGCTGATGCTGCGGCCACCCCCGAGCAGGGACTGTCCTAACCTGGCTGAGGTTCACCCAGTGAGAGGAGGGGCCTGGGTGCCAGCTTCCCCACCTCTGCTCTAGCTTTCCACTTCCATTCTAGAACTTTCCATTCCTAATCCAGAGGGTTAGGAAGTCAGGCTCACCGTGTCTTATAACTGAACCTGAGGAGCAGCAATGCCCGTTTTCAAAAGTGAGATCCTTTAGCAATGGGACAATATTTCAGACATCTTTCTAACCAGGGTGGTGTTTGGATTTAAAATGTCTATCATACTTTTAAAACATACTTTTTGAAAGTTAATATTTGACAGAGATAATACAAGATTTATATGAAAAAATCCCCAAAACTTTTAGGATCATTGTTAAAAAGGCACCCATTTTCAGACCTTTGAAAGTACAGGTACACATGTATGTGTGGCATTTGAACATGTATGTGTTTGTGTATTTGGAAGTGGGTTATGGTCTGAGATCTCCTCTGAGATGCTTTTCTAGCGGAAGTGTGATGTGTTCATTTCAGGGAGTGGAGAACCAGTGGCCACTGACCAGTCTCAGCAGGGAAAGGGGAACTGTCTAGCTCTTCAGTCGGGGGCTGTTTATTAGGGATGGAGGGAAGGTTCCTTCCCACCATGGATCCCGGCTCCTGGAGAAGAGGCGAACATTCCAGTGTGTTCTACACCAAAGCTGAGTGACGGGGAGACATGTGCACCCTCTCACATCCGCTCCCCTGGACCGGCCCGGGGGGGAGGATGTGTGTGTTACATGAAGTGCACATTTTCATGGGTGCTGGTGAGGTCCCCCTGGAGGGGGCCGCCCTCCCCTCCCTACCCCTTGGAGGGACCTGCCCAGGTAAGTGCCCAGCCAGCATGCCCGGGGTCCCTATGTGTCTGGGATCCCTGTGGACACTCAAGAACACTCCGGAGTCAACCATGAATCCCTGAACGGAGTGTCTGATGGTGGCGAATGGCCAGTCTAGGAGTGTAAGCTGTGCCAGATGCGTCTTTTCTTTTCCTTATTTCTGCTGCTCTGAGAGCACTTAGCATTTCTGTCTGTTTTGTTTTTCTTGTTAATCCTCACACGAGGATATTTTTCCACCGATTTTTATTTTTTAAGAGAAAGTGGAAAGGACGGGGAGAGACAGAGAGAGAAACATCGAAAGTGAGAGACATATCTGCCTCTTGCACACACCCTGACTAGGACCAGCGCTCGAGCCTACAACCAAGGTACATGCCCTTGATTGAAATCGAACCCGGGACCCTGCAGTCTGCAGACCAACATCCTATCCACTGAGCCAAACCAACTAGGTCTGTCTTTGTTTTTGAAACTGTGACTAGAGCGTGGCAAGGTGAGATGGGCCAGGTGGCTGAGGAGCAGCTCCGTCCGTGGGAGTGGATGGCTTGGGTCAAGCAGGCAGACCGAGCGAGCGTGGGCCCGAGTTGTGGTTTGGTCACGTGACCTTGACCAGGACGGACACGAAGAGGCCCCCGGCTGTGCTCACCTCCAGGGTGACCATCTGCTTGGCCATGGCGCGCTCCACTGCCTCGTACATCTGCGTGTTCTGGATGCCCAGGCCGCAGAAGATGACGAAGGCCTCCAGGAACTGCTCGTCGTTCCGGTTGAACGGCTTCACCTTGCCGGTGCTCTCCTCCATCTTGTTCACCAGCTGGCACACCCCTGTGACGACCACGGACAGGAGCCGGCGTTACTGAGATCACAGTGCTCACTGATGTCACCCCACAGACCTGACCCTCCTCTGAGGAGCGCCTGGCAGCTCAGGACAGCGGCGGCCCTCCCCGTGCAGCACCAGCTGGAGAGGTCACGGGAGTTATCCCACCAGCCCTCACTGCACGTGGGCCAGAAGCTATCCACACCAGCCCTCACTGCACGTGGGCCAGAAGCCATCCACACCAGCCCTCACTGCACGTGGGCCGGGGAGCTATCCACACCAGCCCTCACTGCACGTGGGCCGGGGAGCTATCCACACCAGCCCTCACTGCACATGGGCCGGGGAGCTATCCACACCAGCCCTCACTGCACGTGGGCCGGGGAGCTATCCACACCAGCCCTCACTGCACGTGGGCCGGGGAGCTAATCCAATCCACACCAGCCTCACTGCACGTGGGCCGGGAGCTATCCACACCAGCCCTCGCTGCACGTGGGCCGGGGAGCCATCCACACCAGCCCTCGCTGCACGTGGGCCGGGGAGCTATCCACACCAGCCCTCACTGCACGTGGGCCGGGGAGCTATCCACACCAGCCCTCACTGCACGTGGGCCGGGGAGCTATCCACACCAGCCCTCACTGCACGTGGGCCAGAAGCCATCCACACCAGCCCTCACTGCGCGTGGGCCGGGGAGCTATCCACACCAGCCCTCACTGCGCGTGGGCCGGGGAGCTATCCACACCAGCCCTCACTGCACGTGGGCCGGGGAGCTATCCACACCAGCCCTCGCTCCATGTGGGCCAGAGCGTGGGCTGTTCAAAAAGTCCTGAGCGCTATCTTCTCGCAGACGCGCCCTGGGTATTAGGCGCTGGGCCCCAGAGACAGCCTGTCCTGTGGGGACCAACTGGCTCGGTGCACTGGCCAAGGGAAAGATTTGGACACACATCGGACTCTGGGCCAGGCAGCCCGCCTCTCCTTCCCAGAAAGCAGGGCGCAGCGCCCAGTTACACACAAGGCGGGACACGGACAACAAGTCACAGGACGCCCTCACGGCTCATCAGGGCCTGCGTCTCGGAGAATCACGCGTACAGACGGCTCCCGACACTCACATAGAATGACGCTTTGCATAGAAATAAAGACAGGATGCATCTCTGAAGCAAACCGTGACCTCCTCTGTCCCAGCCTCTTTCAAGATCAAACGTGTCATTAACAGGCCTGGACGAGGACGTCCATGTCCTGACCGACCTCCACGGAACCATCCGCCCACAGAGTCTGAGCCTCATGGTCCCTACGAGGACTGGGTGCCGCCTCACTCCCCTTCTGGTCCCTACATATTCTCATATATCCTCAGGGTCCTTTGGAGGTTTGTTATTATTGTGTTTGCCCATTATCTCTTGTTTTAATCCTTCCCAGTTCATTAAGTTATCTTTTCATTGCTTTCTTCCTTCCTATTATTCATTTATTTTGGAGGAGGGGTCAGCGTAGAGAGTGAGAAAGAGAAGGCCCTGCTTTTCTGATGTCTTCAGTTGACCACTTTTTCAAGCAATTTCATTTCTTAATAATAACAACATTTAAAACAATATTATCTCCCGTGTGTATACCTTTGACCGTGTACCTCAAATGTTTGTTGTACAGACACAACCATCAATTTTCTAAAATGCTCCCTAATCCGTGGGGGATACATCCAAAGTCCCCTAGTGGAGGCCTGAGACCATGGCGAGTCCCAGACCCCCGATCCAGTGTGATTTTCCTGTACACACGCATTTTCCCTGTACACACGCTAGGATGAAGTGTAATTGATAAATTAGGCACAGTAAGTAATACTGAAATAGGACAATGCTAACAACAGGTGGGGCATCTATAGGTGGAGATGGGGGAGGGGAAGGGGTAGTCACATCCCATAGGAGAAGGCGTGAGGCTCGAATTTCATCACCATCCTCAGAAGGGCATCCAACTTAAAAGCTATAAGTTGTGCCGAAACCCGTTTGGCTCAGTGGATAGAGCGACAGCCTGCGGACTGAAGGGTCCCAGGTTCGATTCCGGTCAAGGGCATGTACCTTGGTTGTAGGCACATCCCCAGTAGGGGACATGCAAAAGACAGCTGATCGATGACTCTCTCATCGATGTTTCTAACTCTCTTATCTCTCTCCCTTCCTCTATGTAAAAAAAATCAATAAAATATAAAAAAATAAATAAAATAAAAGGTATAAGTTGCCTACTTCTGGAATTTTCCATTTCATGCTTAGGACATGGAGCAGTTGAAACCATGGAGCTACTACCGCACTCTCCTTTTGACTCTGGGGTTCCTCTCTGTCATTCAGGAGGACACGTTCAGTTTCTAACAGGGCCTGCTCCTCCCCATTGACCCTGTCATTCTGCGTGCCCAGCTGTAACGCATCGTGGGGGAGAATGGCTGCCAAGTCCACTCCCCAGAAGCCACTGAGCTCGTGTTGTGTGTGTAAATATCAACAGTATTTGTGAAACTGGGATGCATATTTGACAGGAATTTGCATTTTTAAATATGAGATAAAAAGTGTACATATGCTGATTAGATCCATTTCATTTCTATAGTAATCAATGCTAATGTTTCCTCATTTCCCCCCTTTCTTTAACATTGTGTGGACTGCCATTTTGTCCAGTTCTCTTTGTATTTTCAACAGCTTTGGCTTTCATATATCAATGGTGTTTTTTAGTTTATTAGAAGCACTTAGGACAATTATACTTTCTTCTGTGGATTTTAAGTCTAATCAATGTGGAGACCTGCTGGGGGTGACCAGCAGACCCCAAGCAACAGGTGAATGAACTAATCTGACACGCTTGCTGTAAAAGAGAGGGCTAAGGGATGGCCTGGCCAAAGGCACCAGGCAGCTCCCACTGCCTGCCTTGCTAGGCTTTTATTACAGTTTGAAATAGAGTTTATCTTTAGACACAATCTGTAGGGTGAGCAATCTTGGGAGGATTAAGATTGCTCTGGGGATTAAGAATGAGGATTCCAGTAAATGCCCAGAGTCTGTATGTGCACAGACTTGCTTAGAGTGGTCAGGGAATAATCAGGGGCCCTGTCTTGGGTGCTCCCCTAGGCCTCCCCGAAGTCGGAATTCCAATAAACAGGACCAGCAGCCTTCCACACGCACGCTTCCCTCTCCTCGGAATGTCCTCCTGACAACTTTCCCACCACGTCTGGTGCTTCTCCACAGAGACATCGTTTTCACCTTAAATCCCCCTTTGTCTGATATTATTCTCTCTATTCAAATGTTGCCCCTTTTGTGTAAAATGCATTATTGCAAGTGGCACATTCTTCAGATCTTTCAGAAACTCCTCAGCATTTCTGGCCCAATGAGGCAGCCTTCTCTGTTTCCTGGTGCATATGACATCTGTCTCATTTTTCTGTTTCTTCAATCAATGTTTGAAACCTTAACATCCATATTGTTTTCACTTTGTAGATTTTCACTTGGATAATTTTAAACTATAATTTCTTCATGTTATTTCTTCTCATTTCATTCCAGTTATTACTGTCTCATTTCCGGGTGCTTCACCGGGCATTTTTAATAAGCATTATAACCAGAGCATAATTCTCAGTTCTCCAACGGGGGCCATGCTGGGAACTTTAAACATTATAACATTGCGTGCTCCGTGGAGGCCACAGTGCAGCTCAATCACGCCCGCACAGGGAAAATCCTAGCGAATGTTTAATAAACAACGGAGCCATCAGCGAGAGAGCCGACCGGTCAAGTTTAACATGAAACATAAAATGAAGCAGAAGTCAGCATGAAACGCATGTAACTTTAGGACTTTGTGCTCTGGAAACCAGACAGCGACCCACGGGTGAGTGGAGGCGGCGGGGAGAGGATTTGGACTCACACTCAGTAATGATGCCCACTCCTCACAAGTCCCATTCAGGCAGTGTGAGTAGAACCCTGTGCTTTGCATTAGACTTTTCAATAAAGAAGACATGGAAACACTAGTCATTTACTGTGGAGATGGCCCAAACTTTTTATTTCTTTGGATGGGATAAATTCCTTTTAAAAAATGCCCTGGAATGGTGTGAACAATGGAAGGAGCTGGTGCAAACAATGGGAGGAGTTGCTGTGAGCCATGGGAGTTGGTGTGAACAGCAGGAGGAATTGGGGAGAACAATAGGAGTTGGTGTGAACAATGAGAGTTGGTGTGAATAACAGGGGGAAGAATTTCAGGCAAATACAATATGGGGGAAAGGCATGTTTAGCCTAATCAATAGGGGAACTAGTTGGCTCAATAAATGAATGTTGACTAGGAAAGTATTTCCTTTGGAAGCAAAGCGGCGGAAACACTCTCAGCCAGAGCACTGAGGAGACACGTGTGAGAAACAAAGCCTCGGGCACATCGGCCTGACATCTGTAATGTCATATTCCCCTCGGCCACGGGGAAGGGGGAGCGGGGGAGGGAGGGGAGAAGACAGAAAACACATGGCCCGCCTGTGTTCTGTGTAACTCCGCGGGGATTCTCCATTAGAAGGACACGATTCCAGAATCGGGTCTGTGACAGGCGAGAAGAATTACCCGCCGCCCTGATGTTCTCCAGGCTGCCTCCGGGGTGCAAAGTCTAGGCAAGCACGGACATTCTTTGTCTGCCCCGCTTCCAGAGCAGCGGGAACACAGGAAATTTCCTTCTTGGACTTGGAACCAACTCGAGCCCCCGCTAAAACCCCACTCGGGGAATCATTTTTAAACCCTTCTTATTTACAGGGAATTTTCCTCTCCAAAAACAGCATCTGCTTCCTGCGCTCTGTTCTCGGGTGGGGCCACAGAACGTAGGCCAAGGGAAGTCCGATGGCTTCCCCCGGCATTTTTAATTGCTTTTGCTCACTCGTTGACTGTTTCACCCCAGAGCCTAGAGAAGGAGGGTGCCCGCTAGATCCTCTTGATGAGTAAATCAATACAACCTACAGTCTGAAGCACGTGTTCAAGAAAGAAAAGCCAGAAACCAAGAAAAGAGACTCTAAGCCAATGCACATTATTAACTGGATGTGTCTTAGTCTACTAACTTTCAACACATCATCCTTAAACAAAACTGCTGTTACAACAGGATTCCAATCATTACAGGAAGCACATCATGGCTAGTAAGACAGGCACCACATGCCTGTGGTTAGCTGAGCATCCTTTTCTCATTTCCATTTTTATCTTTTACACATTTTATTCTTTCAATTTACACTTGGGAGTCAGAAGTTCCTGGGAATGCGCTATCTTTTTCTTCGGTTAGGGCGGCGTGGAGGGTGATGGAAATCTTACTTACCGATGACTTTGTTCTTCTTCCCATTTTTGATGGGCGTACAAAGCAAACTCCGAATGCCCTGCTGGCTTACGCCCCCCACGCCTTCATTCTAAACAAAGCAAAAGCAAAACTTACAAAAAGAGTGACTTTCCCATTAGATGCTGTTAGGTAAACTATATTGGACACCTGAGCCCACTAACAAAGTCATCTTATCAGCTGGAGCGATAAGAGTGCAGAAAACGCACCATGTACAATGGTATTCACATGAATGCAATGGAAAGCAGTTAGTCTTTATATTGTTAAAAATACAAATGACCTAGCCCTGGTTGGTCTGGCTCAGTGGTTAGAGAGTTGGCCCACAGACCAAAGGGTCACAGATTTGATTCCTATTCAAGGGCATGTGCCTCGGGTGCAGGCTCAATTGGGGCACATGCAGAAGGCAACCAATCGATGGGCCTCTCTCACACCCATGTGTCTCTCTCTCCCTCTCCCCTCCCCCCTCCCTCCTACTCTCTCTAAAAACATCAATCAGGTGAGGACATATAGATGATCTAGTTTTCTTTTTTTCCCTATTTTAAACGTTCCCAGCAGCTTACAGGGCTGGCATGCACTGTGCCTGGAGGAGGCGTCTCTGGTAGCTTAACAAGAGGAGCAGAACCCAGAAGAGTCAAACCCTCCCTGCCCCAGACATCATGTGCACCACACTGGCCCTCTGTGGACGCATGCCCACCGTGTCCACTGCCCACACTGCTGACTTCTAAGAGGCCTCTGAGATGTGAGATAACAGCAGCAAGGCAGCTGCCTCCACATGCAATGATTCTCTGGAGCAAAGGAGAGAAAACGCCAGGATCCGAAGTTTCCTGTGGCTGAGAAAGGGTCTTTGCAGCCTTTTTTTAAAAAATATATTTTATTGACTTTTTACAGAGAGGAAGGGAGAGAAATAGAGAGTTAAAAACATCGATGAGAGAGAATCATCAACCAGCTGCCTCCTGCACAGCCCCCACTAGGGATGTGCTCGCAACCAATGTACATGTGCTTGACCGGAATCGAACCTGGGACCCATCAGTCCTCAGACCGAAGCTCTATCCACTGAGCCAAACCGGTTTCGGCTGCAGCCTTCTTGTCAGGGAACACAGACCCTCCTTCTCCACGGAGCTGCTCCACGTGGTGGACCACCAGCTACGTCCCTTCAAGCCACGGGAATCTTATGCTTATGAAGATAAACCCACAAACGCTAGGAATCCTGTCTCCGGGCCATCACTGGCATGAAGTAGGCAATAGATCCATCATCTCACGTGCCAATGAGTTATTTAAAAACTGATAAAAGGACACCGGAAGTACTCAAGCATCGCTGACTGGCTCCCGGCTCCCACAGAGGCCGTTCCAGGCCATGGAGGTCCCCGTGAGCACTGACGGGGAGGCCCCCCTCCTCCAGCCGCTCCCGTACTCACCGCCCAGGGGAACCTCTGGTCCTTGCTGACGTCCGGGATGCTGAGCGCCTCCATGGTGCGGGCGACGTACTGCGCGAACATGTAGTTGACCGGGCCGCCGTCCCGCTCCCTGTGGGAGGAACGAGTGGGCGCTCTGGGCAGCGGAGTCAGAAACGGACACGCGGGGACACACCAGCCTGAGGCCGCTGGGCGCGCGTGTCCCACAGGGAAAAGACGGCTTCCCACGCGCGGCCTGCCTTTCAGCTTGGTGTTCCTGTAACTGAAACGTTCTGGGAAGACAAAGACCCACAACTTTCCAACGGTCCCCAGCGAGTCTGTAAACGTCCCGGGCAGCCTCCTGGCCGTGTGAACGGGCTGCTGGCCTCTGTGCCGTTTACTGTACACCCGCCTGGACTCCCGGCCAGGCCTTGTGTCACCCGAGACAGTGACCGAGGCCAGCCTTTTCCTCCGCAGGGAATCTCTCCGCCTGCCCGCCCCACGACCGCCCCCCATCCCAAACCCGGGGGAGCGACATGCGGAGACTTTACCCAGCAAGCTCGCTCCCACCTCTTTCCTTGGAGACCTTTTATACTTTTAAAATCGTAAAAATCATAAACATTCATCTTCTTCAGAGATTCTCATAAACTTAGAATACGTTCCCAGGGACCACGCGTCCGGTGTTCCGTGCGGTGAAAGAGAAGGACTCGAAAAGCCACCCCACTGAGCCCCGGCAGTCTGGAGGGAACCCCAGGAAAAGCCCGGATAAGCCTGGGCTTCAGGCTCATTAACGAGCTGTAAACTGCGAGCACTCTGCCAGCAGGAGAGTCGGGATGGAAGCAGGCTTTCGGGGAGATAAGGAAAGCCGAGGTCGCTGGAGAGAGAAGGGGCGGAGAGGAAGTGATAACAACACCATTCACGGCTTTTATTATGGAACCCAAAATAGTTACGCACCTGCTGGGGAGGATAAAACCCGATTTGAGAGACGCTGACATGGAGAAGCAGAAACAGGGACGTGACTTTTAAAGCGAGAGAAACCCGGTCTGTTAATCCCCGAAGCTTCCCAGTGTCCTAAGGGTCGCTTCGGGGAAGAGTGGCATTGGAGTACTGGTTCTGCGATCGCACTTTCCTCTCGCCGAGGAGGGCTGAGTTCGCTTCCTCCCACGCTCTGTGGGGGCAGCCTGAGTGCCCGCGGCCCGGAGGCCCGGTCAGCGTCCCGCGGAGCCTGCCCACAGGCCATTGCTGTCATGGCAGCCGTGGTCTGGCGCTCAGCTGCACACACTGCTGGGCAGTGCCCAGGCTCCAGACCCTCCCTCCCACCCACACCCCAGGCCCCAGAGTGAAGACTCTGGCTAATGATTCCGCATCACGAGCACCCTGAGTGTTCTACACTCAACACTTCGAAGCTGCCGCTAACAAATGACTTTACTGACAAAGGTAAGTGGGCTGGTGGGAGGGTACCACATGAGCCAGGCTTGAAGCAGCGGACACATGCTGACTAGAAGGAGTGATTTGCTCATGGCTCCCCTCTCCCACCACGGGTGCTTGTTTACTGTAAACCCCCTGGCCTGCAAGGTGTGGCCTAGTTAGGGCGGGAGGGCCCACAGTCTGTCAATGAGTGATTTCAGGAAGAGGATGAAGACTCTGATAGTGACTGCGAGCACCAGGCCAGTCCTTTGTCAAGATGCAGAAGCTATTAAACATAATTCTAATCACAGTTTTTGCAAAACTCCGCCTCATATCTAATTTTTTTTAAACCACTAATAGGTCTTTAATTGCATCATTAGAATAGCAGTTAGGTTAAAAATGTTTAGCGGAAATAAGGCATTAGCATTAAATAATTTTCACTACTGTAAAATCAGTTAATGAATCAGTTTAAATGATGATGTGAATTAGTTTCCTTTAAGGTAATCATATCCAACTAGCTATCTTTTTTAAAAAAAGTATATTTATTCCAAGACTGTTTTGAAGGGATTAAAAACATAAATGAAAATATTACCTCCATTTTGCTTACAGAAAGGGAATATGGTATTCACCAGGAACAAATCAAATATAGAATAAGAAAGTAAAGATGCTGTACAGTAAGACTTCGCTTAAAGAAAAAAAGCATATCCACCAATAGGGGTCACTATTACACCAAGTCACTGGGCTAGTTCAGCTATCATACCAGGAGTTAGAGGACCCCGCTGAATTATAATAATAATAAAACTCAAAATGCGAGTAAAAATAATTACACACACAGGCTGCTGCACAAATATTCAAAAGCAAATGTGGGTACTTCATAGTTTTACATATTGAATATTCCTATCACACCCATTTCCTAATCTCATAACATACGTAAACTCTTAAATATACATGTTTATATCTGCACCTATATAAATTCATTATGTATGCAAGCCAAAAAGTAAACTGGCCTGATGTTTATGTGTCTTATCTAGAAGCTTTCTAAAATGCTCTTTATAAAAAAGCAACAAAAATGTCACAGCATCCTGACATCAAAGTAATACAGATCAGTGCTTGTCCTGAGAATGAGAAACCGCCCCTGACCGAGGCGGCCCGGCCCGAAGCCCACAGTGGAAGGTAGGGATGTTGTTCAGATAATGCCCCGTTTCCACGATCGAACGATATCATGTCAGCGATCTCTGGAAAAATGATTGGGAGGAAATGAACCTGTGACCAGCCCTCCCGTCGCAGAGCCTGGCGGACACACCCCCGCAGGAGAGCCTGAGACACACCATGGCCAGCGGCTCGGAGGGCGGGGCTGTGGGAGCACCCACCGGTCTCCTCCGCGTCCTTTTCAAAACCCAGAGCGCACAGGCACACCGGGGCCAGCAACACACAGTCTCCAGCATCTGGACACTTTGTTGTTTCTGAGCCACCGTTTAAAAACGAATAAGGATTTAAACATCACAAAGAACACAAAACACCAGTGAGCTCCAACGGACACCTGAGCACCCTCCAGCCCCGGGTCGGCCGCAGCTGTGACCGGCCCAGGCTCCCTTCTGCAGTAACACCCTGCTGACTCCAAACCAAAACGGGGTCGCGGAAAAGCCTGCTTAGAGACTGTCCCGTGTCCAGGGAGGCTCCACTGCAGTGAAAGATCTGAGTGAAACAGCGCGCTGGGGGCCTACACACACACACAGACACACTGACTCAGACAATGTTGGGCCCACTCACAGGACGCACTGCCCACCTGTGCTGTGGCCACTCGCTCCGGGAAGGAATCCTCCGCTGGAGTGCACACACACACAACACGGCACAAGCCCCGGGCTTTAGCACAGAAAGGCCAGCAGCAGCTCCGTCTTAGTTAGTGGGGTCACGGAAGGACGCTGCGGCCGGTCTGCACGCGATCTTTTACCTTGTTCCCGCGCCGGGCGCTCGCTCCAGTTCCTCCCGCTCCATGTGGAACACGCTGGAAAAGGCGTCCTGGGAACACAGGGACGAGGCGGAGTGAGCGTGAGGAGGCGGCACAGACCCGGTCCGAGGAGCGGCCGCGCTGATGGTTTTTACATTTGTGCCCGTCCTCTCCGAGGGCCTGGACCAGCACGCACTTCACCGCCCCGCGCTCCGAAAGCCGGTTCCTGTAATTCTGATCTCCCCGGGCCAGAAGGCTTATCTGAGCCCCTTTTCCCCACCTACTAGGTATTAATAAATGTTAGCTTTAAAATGTCTCTCTATTTCCTCAAAACCCTCCAGTTTCTGCTTTTATGCAGACACTGATCACTGCTGCAAGATCCCAGGAGAAGAATGGCTTTTTAAAGTCCCACCATTCAGTCATATTTTGTGGGCTCCAAATAGTCGGGGAGATCTGAGCAACATAGAGAAATACTTCTGAAGTTACACTAAAAGGCAGGCACTCATGCATGGATGAAGGATCAGAAGGAAGCGGGAATAAAATACTGATGTTGGCTAAGGTGGAGGGAAGGGGCAGGAGAGAGGGGCACATTGTTTTCCTTGCTCACGTTTTGGGTTTGGCTCACGTTGTGGAAATACTTTTAACCGGCAACTAATTGCAATATAAATCAAGTCCCTTAATTCCCTATCTGATCCCAACAACCGAGTTGTTAAAAGTGAGCAAAGGGCTTTAGCGGGCAGGCTGCCGGGCTTTATTCAAAGCACCAGGGAGCTCAGTCAGACGCTGCCATGACGGGGTGAACCAGGGACACGTGAGCCGAACGCTGATCCAGAGACAGTTACATTGTCTGAAGAAGGAGAGCCTCGAGTGTAACTTGCACACAATAAATGCTAAAGAGCAGTGGCAGGGGAAGCGTGGTGAGCTGACATCCTGCATTGCTGAGTGCCGACCCGAACTTTAAAAGATAGCTCCTATCTTATAATCATTTCCGCCTTGCAGGTTTTATGGCTGATGAAGCACATGAAGCAGTGTCTATGAGAATACTGGTTATCTTACAGGATAGTGAGTTCCTAATAGATATCCTATTAATGAGAAACACACACACACACACACACACACACACACACACACACACTGATTCAGACGCTGTTGGGTCCTACAGTGCAATATTACTATCTAAAACAACTAAAAAATGTTAAATATAAGCATTAAATATAGTTTATTCTGCTTCCTTCCAAAAACATGAACTCAGCTATCACACACAAGTGGCAGCTGGCCGATGCCAGTGGTAACCCCCCCTCTTTCCCACTAGCCCCCCATAAGGAGCCTCTCGCCAGGGTCTAATGCGGAAGGAAGATGAACAACGGCGTCCAATAGAACACCCGGCAGCAGTGGGTCAGGGGCTGGGAGGGGAGAAACGGCCGGCCCGGATTCTAACGGCAGCTCAGCTGCCCATCGGCCCATCGCAAGGTAACCAGCCTCCGACAAGAACAACCTCCCACACATCTCAGTTTTTCTTTTTCTTTTGAATCCTCCCCCGAGGCTATTTTCCCACTGATGTTAAGGGAGAGTGGGAGAGAGAGGGAGAGACAGAGAAACATCAATGGGAGAGAAACACATCCATGGGTTGCCTCCTGCAGGAGCCCTGACCAGGGCCTGGGCCAGGGAAAAGCCTGCAACCGAGGAGCGTGCCACTGACCAGAACTGAACCGGGGCCCTTCAGTGTGCAGGCCAACACTCTACCCACTGAGCCAGACTGGCTAGGGCACAACACTCTACCCACTGAGCCAGACTGGCTAGGGCACAACACTCTACCCACTGAGCCAGACTGGCTAGGGCACAACACTCTACCCACTGAGCCAGACTGGCTAGGGCGCACATCCCTTTCTTTGCATTACAGCTCAGTGGATTGAAATCTACCACTCAGAACCTTTTAGTGGTTTCCCATGTTAGTAAAGGATCAGGGACCCACGGGCAGCTCTATTAATGTGGCCTCTGTCGGACATGCCTTTGGTTTTTAAACAATTCCATCGAAAGAAAATGTGGCCTTGGCCAGTTTGGCTCAGTAGATAGAGTGCCGGCCTGCGGGCTGAAGGGTCCTGGGTTGACTCCGGTCAGGCACATGCCTGGGTTTCCTGCTCGATCCCCAGTAGGGGTGTGTGCAAGAGGCAGCCGATCAATGATTCTCTCTCATCACTGATGTTTCTATCTCTCTCTCCCTCTCTCTTCCTCTCTGAAATTAATGCAAATATATTTATGAAATGAAGTGAGAAACCTATTTAAAAAATAAAATAAAATAAAATAAATAAAATAAAATAAAATAAATAAATGTGCTACCCAACCCGTTCAGAATTGGGATCTCCCTGTTCCTAGCAGTGGGGACACCGCTCTTCCAGCCACGGAACGTCAGCGATAACGACAATGCGTTTCCCGGAGGCCACGGAGCCCTGACCACAGCCAGCGCAGCCCACGCCCACGGTGACCGCTTTGAGGAGGGACACGGAGGCACTTTCCCCCACCCCACCTGTCTTCAACCAGGACGGGTCCACTGTCATCAGCCTCGCATGACCCACCACACAGGGTTGGAGAGAGGGTTCGAGGCGCACATGGGGTTCACGAGCAGTGGCCCGAGGACTCCCCGTTCCTGTCTTCCTAACGGGGATGGGGCGCGCTCTGTACTCACGGCGCAGTCTTCGTCCACGATGAAGATGGTGCACTTCTGCACCTGCATGAAGGAGATGATGGTGGCGGCGATCTTCTTCAGGATGACCTCCAGGGACTGCTGCTCCTCGAAGATCAGGCTGGCCAGGTCCAGCAGCACCTGGCAGAGACACCACACACCTCACGGTTACTAAACAGAGGCCCGCTGCACTGGCGGGGTCCCTCGGCCTGGCCTGCAGGATTGGGCTTAAACTAGCTCTCCGACATCCCTTAAGGTGTCCCGGATTGCTAGAGGGTGCACTAATGGGGCGGGGAGGGTTGACCAGCTGGGGAGGGACAGTGGGAGGGCTCCAGGGCATGTCCAGCCCGTCTCACTGAGTCCCAGTTGGCCAATCACCTACCGGTTGGAGCATCTGCCCCCAGTGGCCAGTGCATGTCATAGTGAGCAGTTGAGCGGCCATATTATGCTTTGGATAGGTTGAATGGATAACCAGTCAAATGGACACTTAACACATTAGGCTCTTATTATAGGAGGATTGATTGCAAACACTGAAGCAATATAATGAGATATATATATATATATATATATATATATATATATGAACTATAAGTTGTTTATATATATTTAACCTAACAAAGTTATGAGCAAGTTTGCATTCTGCTTACTAACGGTTGTTATTACAGTTAGTACAGTGGTTCTATCATAGACTCTTAACCCAGCTAGAGTCTTCAGATTTTAATTCCACCTTCCCTTCCTGTCAGCTTTGTAATTTAAGGGAAATTTCTTGAAAATGGGGATAACAGTAGTACCAAATAGGAATGCTGTAAAAACTAAGTGAGTTAACATTTATAATGCATTTTAAACAGTATAGACACATAAAACACGTTGTTAATAAACAGTAAGTGTGTATTAACATTTATTGACATTTTCACAGGACACATTAAATACTGTCCAAAGTAAACAAAGTATTAAGAGTTATTTTTTTAATTTTCCTGGTAATTTCTCTTTCCTTTGTATCTCACAGAATTTCTTTCAATTTCACAAAGCATGTGTGTGATGAGGGGATAGAAAGTGTATTACAGAACATTTATTGGAGGCGATACTGTCCTAGGCCAGGCCTGAAAGAGGAGTAGAAGTCATTATGGTGAAGTGGGGGGAGGGGCTATTCAGTTAGAAAGAACTGAACTGAGAGAAAGCAGCACACTCCTGGCCTCGATCAGGTTTCACGTGCCTCTGGAGTGTGAAGAGGAGAGCTGGGCAGAGGAGGCTGGAGAGGGAAGCAGAGAAACAGCCTCACACCCTGTGTGTCTCCTGGAGCAGTTTGGATGGTGACAGTTTGCAGGAAGGAAGTGACAAGTCACAGTTGTGTTCGTAACCATGGGGACTGGGAGAATGGATGATAAGCATGGAACATGGAGACAGTCAGGGAGATACTGCAGTTGAAGGCAATGGAAGGTCCAATATCTTATTAATACAATAAATATTAATTTTCAAAAGAGAAAAAATCGACAGCCAAGGAGATTAGTTATCAAAGAAATAATAATGAAAAAGAATCATGTAAAACAGAAGGGCATAAGTCTCCAGGCTGAGATGACCAGGTATCAGCATGATGAATTACAAAGGGAAAAAAGTCAAATTGTGAAATTAAGTTAACAAAGCAAAGATAAAGAAACAATCCAAAAAGCTTACAGACATTTAAGGAAAAAAAACCTACAAAGAGCCAAGAATCAGAACAACATGGGTACTAGTTAGAAGGCAAAGCACTACCTTTAAAATCTGAGGAACTGATTTTTTTCATGAGAATTCTGTACCCAGCAAAACTGGCAAGGATGGTACAACAGACATTTCCATACACGCCAGGGTTCTGAAGGCTTGCCTCATGGAGTTACCTGAGAACACGCAGCAATACAACAAGGGGAGGAGCTGAGGGAGGAGCTGCAGGATCCGAGGCTGCAGAGGAGCCTGAGCGTGAAGGGCAGAAGCCATGGGGGGAATGGTTTGGCTTGGAAGAGGCAAGATGAAGAACACCCACGTGGAGATCTCCGAGAGAAGAACTCCACAGAATGCCTAAGTCGTGGAGAGTCTCGGTGTGGGCAGGCCAGCAGCATGTGATGACACCAGAGCAAACAGGGTGAGGGAAAAAGGATGGAATTCTGAAACACCCAGAAAAACTGACACAAGCAACATTTTCACAGTCACGGTGCTTAAACATCTTATTTGAAATTGCAACTTTAGAATTAACCTAGACAAAAGGTAAAAAAGAAACCACAAAAACCCACACAGTTAATCATGGCTGTAGACAATACTGTATGTATGTCATCCTTGTGGGCAGCATAAGAGAAAAAGCACAGAAGGGAAAGCGGAGGTAAGGAGCAGTGGTTGGGAAGGAGAGATGAGAGAGGCTGAGGTTCCAGTCTTACGAAGCATGGAACCAAGAGATGATGTCTGTAGTCAATGGAGCAAGAACAGAAAGCCTTTTTTTAAACACGACAAATGCAGCCCACCCATGACTCACAGCAGTGACCGATGAAGCTGGTCGGCTAAGGGTCATGCGAGCAAAGGGTGGTGCGAGCCAAATACCCTCCCCTGCTCATTAGTGAACACTGTCCCACGGTCACACTAGCAAACGTGGGAAGAAGAAAACAGAAGGAACTGTTAAAGGGAACAACGCACGTGTTTAGAAACGGAATCTGTGCTGTCTGGGTTTTCAGTCACGCACACAGACTGGCTAGGAATCACACACATACATTAGACAAACGTTAACACGTTTTAGGAAGGATCTCTGAGCTCTTGCTCTGGTCCCCGGACTTGCCTGGTTCCTCTTGTTCTCCAGCAGCGACGTCTCGTAGAGCTGTGCGTTGTGCAGGACGATGCCACAGAACGCCAAGTACGCAGCGAAGTCCTAGGAAACGGGCCAGACAACTGAGTGAGAGCCGTCTACCCACCCTCCAGTCTGGGGGTGCTGCATGGAACGCAAGGGACACCCAAAGTTATGCAGAGTGGACATAAATACCGGAGAGCCCAAGGAGAGGTGTATTCTGCATAAAACTAGGATATGAGGCAGAGCGGGTGTGAGCTACATGGCACTCATAGTGGGTGACAAGCACTAACACAGCCTCCTAGGTCGTAAGTGAGGCAGACATGAACAAGGAGAAAGAGGGTGAGTCCCGAGAACTGGTCTCTTTATTGGAAATGGAAACCTGCTCTGTGCAAAAACCCAGGGTGGTCTCTGACTGACGCTAAGTTGAGGATCCATGCTGAGAAGATTTGAGTAGCTATAACTTCTTCCCGGGCAGAGAAAGCTCCCAGGCTCCTCAGGAGAAGCTGGCAATCACACTCCCTCGAAGGCTGCAGAGTTAGTTGAACTGTGCTCCTTACAACAGGTAACTATTGTCCTCAATGTACTATACTCAGGTGATGTCCTCATTTATACTGCTTGTTGGTTAAACTAGTTCTTTACCTGGCATGCTGGATCCACAACCTAAGGAGGCCACCCTTTCCAGAGGATTCACAAGGATGGGCTATAAACGGACAATGGTAAGAAAGCTGGCCTAACCCTAAACCTAACCCTAAACCCTAAACCCTAACCCTAACCCTAACCCTAACCTAAACCCTAAACCCTAAACCTAACCCTAACCCTAACCCTAACCCTAACCCTAGCCACGTGTCCAGCAAGCACTCTCAGGTGGGAGAGTAGATGCCCAGGACCCTGACTTTAAAGGCGCTCTGTTCTGAGCAGCTCAGACGTGGAGACTGACACTAGGGCCAGTCCAACCCCGGCCTGGACACAGAAGCCACTCCCGTCTTGTCTCCCAAAGGCCTAACCTTCAGGGAGTGATGGAAACAGCACTGGGCTTGAGTAGGAAGAGTTGGGGGGCCCCATGGCATCCCTGTAACGACCCTTCATGAGCAGGAATGGCAAACCCTCCAGTGGATGCCACCGTGACCAGGCGTGTGGGCTGCGGTCCTGGAGCGGAAGCAGGTGGTGTGAGACAGGCGTGCCTGTCCCAGGACGATGGGACCGCCCTTTCTGGAGCTGCTCACATGCCCGCCTGAGTGCGCGCACTGGCGCGCCCGTCCCTGGGCCAAGCTTAGAGGACACCAGGACGGGGCCTCATGGGAGGGCAGGCCCAACTCCCAGCTGACCGGGGGTGCTGACCTTGGAGCACAGCTCCAGGGATTTCACTTCCTTTTTTTTTTTCTTTTAAATACATTTTTATTGAGGAAGGGAGAAGGAGAAGGAGAGATAGAAACAACAATGATGAGATTCATGGATTGGCTGCTTCCTGCATGCTCCACACTGGGGATCTAACCCATAACCCCAGCGTATGCCAGCCAGGGCAAGACTTCCTTCCTTCCTTCCTTCCTTCCTTCCTTCCTTCCTTCCTTCCTTCCTTCCTTAAAATATATCTTTATTGATTTCAGAGAGGAAGGGAGAGGGATAGAGAGTCAGAAACATTGATGAGAGGGAAACATCAATCAGTTGCCTCCTCACCCACTCCTGCACTGGGGATGTGCCTGCAATCAAGGTATATGCCCTTGATCAGACTCAAACCTGGGATCCTTCAGTCTGCAGGCTGATGCTCTATCCACTGAGTCACACTGGTTAGGGCACATGTGTCAAACACAAGGCCCTCGGGCCAAATCCGTCCCGCCAGGCCTTGCAATGTGGCCCGCACCGCGCTGTCATCACTGCACTCCGCTGCGTTTCCATCACAATGACAGTTTATGACTGTTCAGTAAACCATTCGACCCGCGATTTAGGCTGGATTTTAGATTTTGGCCCCTTCTCTGATTGAGTTCGACACCCCTAGGTTAGGGCAAGGCTAAATTTCTTAATCGCAGTGATGAAAGGTAGAGAGCAAACTGAAAGTCCACGTCACCCTCTGTATGGCCCCAATGCGCGCGCGCGCGCGCGCGCGCGCACACACACACACACACGCTGTGGGTGAGGCATGGTCACACAGGGCGGGGCTGACTGAGGAGGTACCACAGCCCCCCCTGCAGGTCACTGTCTGTACAGGAAGCCATCCTGACCATCTCGGATCATGTGAACCCACAGGGTGTTCAGTGACGGGCGTGTCAGCAGCTCCCTCTGAGGAGACATCGCACCAGACACACACGCACTCCGGTACCTTCTCATCTTTCTCGGTGAACGTCCCGCCGTCTCCCGACTTCTTGTTGATAGCCTGGGCGACGCCCACCACCTGGTGTGAGGAGAGAGAAGTGTCCGGAATGATCGGTGTGAGTTCACCGGCGCATCTGCTGCTGATTTCTGCAGGTGCTTCCAACACAACCACCGCGGCTGCAGCCAGAGCGCAGCCCCGCAGCCGAGCGAGCTGCAGCCTCCACCGCGGCCCCTCCCCGGCAGTGTGACAGTGTCTACCTCCTGGTCCCACACCACCTCTGACCTGGGCGTCCCCTGGCCTCCCAGAGCGCCGACTGGCCATCGCAGCTCAGCAGCTGCCCAGGCCCTTCCTGGCGCCCAGCACTGCGGCCTTCTCTCTCATCCTCAGGCTGCGGGCGTGGAGGGCGAAGTGAGGAGAGAAGAACGGACCCCCTGAGCCACCCTCTCCCCCGGGGGGTCTCGTCATGAGGCCGGGGTTCTGGCCCCCAGGAGCCCGAGCCAAGACCTTGCTTCACCCCAAAACTGAGACCTTCATGCACAGGAGTGGCGGAAGACCCCCCGAGTCTTTTCAAACATCCCCTGGGCTCAGTCATCCACTCAGAAACAGGTATTTTATTCAGCAAATGGTTTCCGGGCGCCGATTACGGACCAGGCCCTGTTCTAGGCAATGAAGACACGGGCGGAACAAGACAGGTGGCAGATGCCATGACGGTGACGTTCCAGTCAGTGTGAGGCTTGAGAGGGAGTCCCCTTCGCCACCCCATTGTACAGGCCAGCTAACAGGAGGTGAGAGGCAGACGTGGCCCATGCAGACATCCCCATCTCTTCCAAACCCCAGGCAGTCCTCACGTTATAGACACCTGCACACCGCAGGCAAACAATGGCCCCACACACGGCCTCGTCCTAACTTCTGGAGCCTGGGAAGAGACCCCTTACGTGGCAAAAGGGACTCTGCAGATGCGTTCAGTGGAAGGTCTGGAGACAGATCACCCGAGTCATGCGGGGAGTGGGGGGCCCGGGGCCGGAGCAGGAGGCGGGACAGCTGGTTGGAGATGGGAAGAGCAGGGCCACAGGTCCTCTCCGATGGCAGAGGAAGAGCCATTCGCTAAGGGATGGGCAGCCCGCAGGCAAGAGGAGGGCTCCTCCCCGCCTCAGCCCAGGAGCACAGCCCGCCCGCCGAGGTTAGCCAGGGAGAGCAGTCTGGGCTCCGGCCACCACACCGTAGGACGGCGCATTTGTGTGGATCTAAGGCACCACATCCCCACAGACTTTCACGGCAGCACAGCACTCAGTCGGCCCATTAGAGCTGCTCTCACACTCCTCTCCACCTCTCACCCCTCTGCACCCCATCCTGCATCCGCTTCACCAGTGAGACCTCACTCTCTCCGAAGACTTGCATCTCACTGCTGATGGCTTTCCTGCCGATAGTCCGTCTCTGACATGAGGCCAGCTCTATCTTCCTGGGACACTGCTTTGGGCATACAAGTTACCCCATCACTCAAATGTTTTAATGTTCCACCCACTCACCCATCCACCCACCCACCCATCCATCCATTCATCTATCCACCCACCCATCCATCCACCCATCCACCCATCTATCCACCCCACCCATCCACCCATCTATCCACCCCATCCATCCACCCATCCACTCATCCATCCACCCATCTATCTACCCATCTATCTACCCACCTTCCCCCCATCCACCATCCACCCATCCATCCATCCAGGATAAAAATCGCAGATGGATTCCACACCCTCAACTTGCACTGAGATCACTTACATGGCCTTTGAGTTAGAATTCTGCAACCTTTGATCATGGATTTCCTTGAACTATGACCTTCCTCTCTCTCGTCTCCAAAGAGCGACCCGCAGACCCTGAGTCCCATGTGGCAGTCCTAACGCCAGACACCTGACAGCAAGGCCTTTGGCCTTGAGCCTCTGCTCACACTCATCCCGAGTCTCCAGCCAGCTTGCTTCCCGAGGACCCGGCACAGGTCTTGCCCTCCCAGTGGCCTGGGCCTCTGCGCTGTCCTGACGCACCCATGTCGGGCGGGTGCTGTGGGTGATCAGGGATTCGTGTCCGGGGTCACTGTTTAGGCTGAGGTACTTACTGGACAACCCACATCTGAGTGAGAGTTAACAGATCTGCCCACGTCCCTCTGCCTTGGGCTTGGTACTAAGAGATCTGCCCACACCGTGAAGCTGACATGGCGGCGCTGTCTGTGCTCTTCGTCAGCATTAGTTATAAAGTTAGCACAGCACAGGGACTTTGGGAGAATGGAAAAGAAAAGCCTGCAACTACCGTGTTTCCCCGAAAATAAGGCCCCCCTAGGCTAAACATGAGAGATTTGGTCCACTGATTCTGAAAGAAATGGAGTCACAAGAAATTCACCAGGAAATTCAGGAATTGGATTGTTATGATGATGTTCCAGAAGATGATGACATGATTGTCATTGAATAAATGAGTAAATTCTTGATACTGTAGGATTCACAGTTTGTCTGGTTTGTGTTGACAACTACCGTACTACCGTACCGTATACAGGTAATAAATTTCCTTTATTTTCATTCAACAATAAATGTGTACCGTATTCTTCATGGAAAAATAAGACATCCCCTGAAAATAAGACCTAGCACATGTTTGGGAGCAAAATTAATATAAGACACTGTCTTATCTTCGGAGAAACAGGGTATTTCAGCTTCTAATTTTTAAAAATATAGAAAAATTACAGAGAGCAAGATGGTAAACACCATGTCGTTGTCAACCAGAACATGGTAATGAAGGCTGTGTGAAAACTCAGCTGTGACCCGGACAGGGAGGCTCAGTGGTTGGGCATCCTCCCATAAACCAAGAGGTGGCTGGTTGGAGCCCCGCACGGGGCACATGCCCAGGATTCGGGCTTGGTCCCCAGGAGGGACTATGCAGGAGGCAGCCCAGGGCAAAGTGTGGGCAGGCCTGCTGTGAGCAGACTCTGAAGCACCATTCCGTAACAGAACCACCCAGCCTGGGGTCCCCAGTGCATTCAGGGCTGTCTCCCCACACCCCATAGCACGCTCACATGGTTAATGCATATTTCCACCCAATGCAATGGAACAATTTCAACATGAGAACTTTGAGAAACAAAGATGAATCCAGAGTGGTGTTTTCTTTGACCGCGATTATAAATCTCATGACACGTTCTTGTGGCCAAGAATCACTCATGCAACATAAAAAAGTCCTACATTTCAGGGAGAAACAGATAATGGTGCCATTTCAAAAGTAAGCAGTTCTTGCAGGAAGAGCCAGAGGGTGACAGCAGTCAGAGCCGCGGGGGGCTGACTGGGGTGAGGGTACGTGTTCTAGCTCTTGACGGGGGTGTCAGCCACACAGATGTAAACACGCTGGTCAAAATGCATCAGACTGTACATGCAGATCCATGTCTTTCACTGTACGTAAATTTTAGTCGGTTTTCAAAACAGGATTTAAAGGTGAAACGTGAACTTGTCATTGCTGGCGGTCCGTGTGCCGGGCCTGCTGCCTCGGTGACGGTGGCGCAGGCTGAGGTGTGACCGTCTGCGGGGTGCTGTGAGCAGGACGGATGCCCCCAGACGGGGCAGGACATACCCAGCCCCGGACCAGTGGTCTCCCTGCCCTCACAACGCCCCGGGGAGCTACCCACCCGCTGGCTGTGTCCGGGGAATGCTTGGCACAACTCTTCATCCTCCTGTTTCTTCCTGTCCCTTCGCTCACAGAACCCCTCTGCCCTGCCCGGGGCAGCGTCTCTGCACCTCGTCCAGCACAGGGCCTCTGCCTCCTCACTCGGCTGTCTGCCCGGGCGCAGAGATGGGTTCTGCGTCAGACGTGGCCACTGCGAGACGCCCACCAGGCGCCCTTTATCCTATTTTTAAAAGACACATCCTTACCCATTTCAGAGAGAAAGGAATCATCAGTGACGGGAGAGAATCATGGATGGGCCTGCTGCATGCCCCACACTGGGATGGAGCTGTACCCAGGCCTGTGTCCTGACCGGGAATAGAACCGTGACCTCCTGGTTCATGGGTCAGTGCTCAGCCCCGGAGCCTCGCAGCTGCTCCCCAGATGCCCTTTAAAAGCCGCTAGAGACACAGGTCACGTAGCGGAGAGCCTGTGTCCCAGGGAGCACGTCCCGGGGGAGGGGAGTCCATTCCCATCCCCTCTGGCTGGGCGACACGCTGAGGAGCCATCAGCAGCCTCTGAACCTCACGGTGAGGCTCGGGGTCACCGGCACCTTCCTGTCTCCAGCCCCTGGAATCGGTGCTTCACGTGCCAATGGCCAGGGAGCCAGGGGAGGCGCCAGGAGCCGGAAGGGGGGGGGGGGGGGCTTGCTCGGTTCCTGCTCCTCGGCCAGCGCAGACCAAGCTCTTCCTGCCACACAGTCAGACTATTCCTTCCGATGGTCTCTGCTCCATTAGGAACACGCTAACACCGAAGACCCCTTGGCCTGCGCAGAGCATCACGCCCGGTCCTGGCATCAGGTGACCCGGCCGCTCGCCACCTCCACAGCCACTGCCAGGAGTGCCCGGCCGCCCTCACAGCAAGGTCTGTTTTCCGGGCGGCGTCCTGCCAGGACCTGGCGGGCGCAGCGGGCTCCCCCTGGGCAGGGCTGTTGGACTTGGACTCGGCCACACCAGGATCCAGTTTGTTCCAGCTCAGCCTGCCCCGGGGACAGGCCCGCGCCTCACTCGGAATGAACGGCTCAGGAGGGCGTCCCCCAGGTGCTCCTGACCCACCCCTATGGGGAAGGACACAGTGAGATGGAGAAAGCAATCCCATCATCAAAACCGCGACAAGGCTCCTCTCATCAGAGGGGGAGGGGAGAGCAACTGGGATCTCCCCGTGGCCCCGGGCCCCCAGGCAGCTGGGTGCGTTTGTAGTGCTTCACGCTCAACAAGCCCTTCCCCTGGGACACAGGCCACAGCCCAGACGCCCTTTCTTCTCCAGGTTCCTCCCTCCACAGGGACGGGAGCCCCAGCAGGTCCCCGCATAGAGAGGCCAGAGCAGAGGTCTGACTCTCCTGCACCTTCGGGGGGGGGGGGGGGTGCGTCCCCGCACAGCGGACACTCCCCACCCCGCACCCCGCGGCCCTGCCAGACGCAGTCCTGGAACCACTGTCTGCAGACCAGCCCTCAGGAGGTGCGGCTCCAGCCCAGACTCGCGTTGTGTAGACTGAAGCGGTGAAGAAGCTGTCTGGTGGCTGCTGGGGCACAGCCACGGGGAAAGGCTGGGGGGGAGGCGTGTCCTGGTGAGAGCAGCGCGGCCGCAGGATGGGGCCCGTGGTCTGGCTCCAGCTCCGACTCCTTGCAGGAAACGTGGGGAGACGTCCTGAACGCGGCCAGGCCCACATGTCCCCCTAAAATGGGGGCGATGCTGCCAGCGAAAGTGGGGATGGCTGACTCTGAGACCCGGCCCTGTGACCATGCGCCCCTCACCCGTCCGTCCGTGTTGGCTCCTGTGTGAGTGAACGGCCGGGCTCACTCAGGGCAGGTACCCGGCCGGCTCTGGGGAGCGCCCTGCCTGCAGTGCTGGTGCCCAGCGGAAACAGGGCCAGAGAGCCCCGCAGGCTGCCGGCGCTGAGAGTAGGTGTGGGGGAGGGGAGCAGGGCCGGGGGGGGGGGGGGGGGGAGGGCGGGGGGGCTCTGGATCACCAAGGACAGCCTGGAAACGCCTTCCTGGGATGTATCTGAGGGAAAGCTTGATGGAGACGAGGCTGGAGGGTGTGGGTAACAAGGGACAGAGACACCACAACGGCAAAGGCCCTGGGGCACAGCTATCGGATTTGCTGAGAAACAGTGGAGAGTAGGGGCAGGGGGCCACGGGAAGTTGGGGGCAACTGGGCCTGCAGGGAAGGGCAGTTGGGGAGACCAGGCCTGCAGGGGAGGGCAGTTGGGGGGACCAGGCCTGCAAGGGAGGGCAGTTGGGGAGACCAGGCCTGCAGGGGAGGGCAGTTGGGGGGACCAGGCCTGCAGGGGAGGGCAGTTGGGGGGACCAGGCCTGCAGGGGAGGACAATTAGGGGGGACCAGGCCTGCAGGGGAGGGTAGTTGCAGGGGACCAGGCCTGCAGGGGAGGGCAGTTGGGGAATACAATGCCTGCAGGGGAGGACAATTAGGGGGGACCAGGCCTGCAGGGGAGGACAATTAGGGGGGACCAGGCCTGCAGGGGAGGGCAGTTGGGGAATACCATGCCTGCAGGGGAGGAAAGTTGGGGAATACCATGCCTGCAGGGGAGGAAAGTTGGGGGGACCAGGCCTGTAGGGGAGGGCAGTTAGGGGGGACCAGGTCTGCGGGGGGAGGGAGGGCAGTTGGGGGGACCAGGCCTGCAGGGGAGGGCAGTTGAGGGGAACAGGCCTTCAAGGGAGGGCAGTGTGTGTGTGGGGAACCAGGCCTGCAGGAGAGGGCAGTTGGGGCAAACAGGCTGACAGGGGAGCAGTTAGACATCAATCAGGCTGGCAGGGGAATAGTTAGGGGGTGATCAGGCTGGCAGGCAGAAGCGGTTAGGGGCAATCAGGAAGGCAGGCAGGCGAGCAGTTGGGAGCCAGCAGCCCTGTATTGTGAGAGGGATGTCCAACTGCCTATTTAATCCCATCCCGATGGGCCACCCAGGGTAAAAGGTCAGTCGAGGGGTCCCAGATTGGAAAGGGTGCAGGCTGGGCTGAGGGACACACCCCCGTGCACAAATTTCATGCACTGGCCTTTAGTATTTATGTAAAGATATAAAGGAAGATGTGTATATATTGTATATATATATATATATATACAAATAATTAGATATTTAGCTAAAAATGCTCCTTTATCAAATTATTCAAACACATATCATAAAACCCTGCTGTATTTGCATCCAAGAGTTGTAAGTGTATTATCACATGTGATGAAAAAACCATAAGATGCTAAAACAAAGCAGAGAAGGAGGGAAGGACTCTGACTCCAGGTGAGATTTCCACTCAGGACCTGGAGCGGCCAGCCAGCCCAGGAAACAGGTGTTTCTGCTCAGAGGCATCCCGGCCGCCTCTGCAGCTCAGGTCCACAGCAGGCTCTGGATGCTGGCGTTATCCCAGTGTCCTGCCCGCCACCTGCCCCGTGCAGCCCCTAAAGACACAGGCTGTCCACTTCAAATTCACCCTTTTGCAAAGCAAATTCATTTCTCTATTAGACAGAAAAAGGACGTCACAGGGGAGGCCGCACCACAGAGCTAGGCGGTCCCAGCGGCAGAAAAGGCCTTGCTGTGACCGCTCCTCCTGCCTGGACGTACGGGTCTGTCTGGTTAGAGAGCCAACTGATGCGGGTGGCACCCACAACTCGGGCCCGTGCCAGGCCCCTGACCCCGCCGGCGGGAAGGAGCTGAGCGGTTCCAAAACCCACGCGCCTTGCGGCCTGTCTTCTCTGTGCCATGGGCTTGGGGTGGGCCCCTCTGAGCATGCCGCCTGCTTCACAGGACACGGATATTTCTGTCCCTGGGAACCCCGGCCGCCGGCTACTGGCCGGATCCCCAGGGACGCCACAGAGGATGTGGCTCACTCCTCCTTCCTCTTTCCCTCTGAAAGGAGCCGTCCCCATGGCCGCGCGCCCTGTGAACTCCGAGGGCCAGCAGCACACACGGCCTCCCCCTCCCCCCGTCTCCACCTTCCAGACCTCCTCTGCATGGAGCCACGTCAGACGCAGAATGCTGAGAAACTCTCCTTTCCATCCACGACCCTGGGGTCAGACTGCCCGGCTCCAACCTCAGCTTCGCCAGTTTTATATTATACTAGTGGCCCGGTGCACGAAATTCATGGACATTAAAAGGGAATTAATCAGAGGAAATATTTTAATATCGCTATTGGCCCTTTCTCTATAACAGAAGTGTCAGAGATTAAAGAAAATTAGTAAAATGTATATGAAAACCTTCCTCCTGTCAGTCTGGGGAACACCTCGGGACCCAGAGTCAAGTCCCCGCCCACCACTCACACACACTTCGGAACGCAGGAGACCCAGACCCGGCAGGCTGCACCCCCAACCTGCCCCTCCAGGCAGGGGCACAATCTCAGGCCCCCTGTCAAGCCCCACCAGGCGAGGAGCTTGGTCTGAGGTCTCCCAGCCCAGCGCTGGGCAGGGGGAGTAGCCTCAGGTCCCCTGGCCCAGCCTGGGGAGGGGGGCGTGGCCTGAGGTCCCTGTCAAGCCCCACGGGGCAGGGGGCCCAGACAGGCACCAGGCAGCCTCAGGCCCCTGCTGTTCAGTGGTGACATTATGGCGTCCCAGCTAATTTTCATATTTCTCTATTGTTAGATAGATTCATTGATGTCAGAGAGGAAGGGAGAGGGAGAGAGATAGAAACATCAATGATGAGAGAGAATCACCGAGGGGCTGCCTCCTGTATTGTATGCCCCACACTGGGGATCGAGTGTGGGGCATACAAAAGGAGCCAGAGAAATCCAACCGTCAGCTTCCCGCGCTGCTCTGCACCCAAGCATGTGCCCTGACCGGGATCGAACCATGACCTCCTGGTTCATAGGTCCATGTTCAACCGCGGAGCCATGCTGGCCGGGCCATGCTCTATGATTATAAAAACTAAAACAAAAACATTTGTCACAGAAGTCTGGGACTCTGAGATCCGACCTCTAAAATCCCCCGCTGCCTGAGGATGAGGACACCGTGGAGAGAGCGCCTGGAGGCCTCGTCGGTCGGTTACAACGCTGCCCAGGAGAGCGGGGTATGGGAGGAGGGGGGCGCAGGGGAGGAGGGGGTGCAGCGAGGTGTTTACAAACTGTGTGAGGAAACCCGCTCTTTACAAAGCCATGGAGCCTCCGGGCGATGACTGATGGCTCCTCATCTTAGGAAATGCTCGGGCCAGTGGGCTGTGGAGGCCGCTTCACACGGGGTCACCACAGGTCACACAGGGCGGAGAGGACATGGGAGCGGGGGTGGGGGTGGGGTTTGGGGGTGTGGACCCCGCAGGAGGCTCAGGGGAGTGTGGCAGCCATGTCTGGGGGCCCAGCTGACCACGTCCACCAGACCTGGAGGGAGCAGCTGCCCTGGCTCAGAGGGGGGTTATTGATCCACCTGGGCCACGCCCAGTCTCCCCGGGGAATGGCTAGGCTCAAAGGCCAACAGCGCCACCTGTGGCCAGGGATGGAGCCGACTCTCAGGCCTCAGCCACTCTCCCAGCCCTGCACTTTCCTCACAGGTTAACATCACAGGGCCTCCTGTTCTGTCATCCTCACCAAGGGTATTTTCCCATGGATTTTCTTAAGAGAGAGGACAGCAGCAGGGGACAGTGGGGGATAGTTGGGAGGGGGAGAGGGAGAGAGGGAGAGGGAGGGAGGGAGAGAGAGAGAGAGAGAGAGAGAGAGAGAGAGAGAGAGAGAGAGAGAGAGAAACATCGAAATGAGAGAGGCACATTGACTGGTCCCCTCCCACATGCACGGGACCAAGCCTGCAAGCGAGCACTTGCCCTTGACCAGGAATAGAACCCAAGATCCTTGGTCTGAGGGCTGATTCCCTAACCACTGAGCAAACCGGCCAAGGTGCAATTCCCCTTCTTGGACAACATAAGTTCGAGCCACGCAGGTCCACTTACACGCGGGTTTTGTTCATTAAACACACTGACGTATTTGGAGAGTTGTGACCACTAGAAAATTATTGCGGACGAACCGTCACATTCCTGAGGATCCTGCAGCTAGACGCCCACCATTCAGCCACTTAAACCACAACGTGCAGTGAGCTGATCACCACCACGGTGATACGTGGTGGACAGAACGGAGCCGTGAGGGGACTGGCAGGGGCAGGACATGACAGGCTGAAACCCACTCTTGAGTCCCAGGAAAGCCGGTCCGGATCCATCCTGGAACCGAGTCTAAACCTAAAGTGCCGAGTGGAACGCGTACGTGCTTTGTTGTCCACTTGTCACCACGCTCGTATGTCATACGTGTGCACAACGCATACGTTGCAAAGCAAGGTTTTTCCCCCAAAAGAAAAATGCTTTCCAACGGCCTTTCACCGGACGGAGTGCCTACCTCCTCCCGGTGGTTCTTGATCGGCATGCAGAGGATGCTCTGCGTCCGGTAGCCCGTGATCTGGTCCACTTCCGCGTTGAAGCGAGGGTCCTGGAAGGAAAGAGAAACGACTTCAGTGACTGGCCGGGCAGACGCCGATCGATTTCCTGGCTTCTCCGGCCAGAGAAATCCAACCGTCAGCTTCCCGCGCTGCTCTGCACCCAGCTCTGTTGTTGTAAGAGGCACCAAATCACACAAGTTTGTATCATTTTTGACAAAGATGAATCTAAGTCCTTCTGAGATGCTAAGGATTATGAGAACCAGAAACAACAGATTCAACGTGCTCAGAAATAAAGGGAATTCAAAGCATTGACGGGTTTGGACAGCCTCAGTCACCCCAGGGGCATTCGGCTTGCCCTCCCATCTCGCCGCCACCATGCCTGGGTTCGCAGCCCTGAAACTGCCCTGTAACACCCACCCTGCCCCCCGACCTTCCCAACTTCGCTTTTGCTTCCCTGGTGATAGGTTCACAGTTCTTAGCATCCTGCTCTACTCTCTCCGGTGTTCATACAAATTTAAACCATATCTTTTCTCCCTTCTTTGACATGTAAAAAAGCCGCCTGGCCTGAGCTGGTGTGGCTCAGTGGATAGAGTGTCGGCTGTGAGACGGAAGGGTCCCAGGGTCGACTCCAATCCAGGGCACATTGCCTCCGGTGCAAGCCCTGGTCTGGGCTCCTGCAGGAGGCAGCCCACCGATGTGTTTCTCGCACTCACATCCATGTTTCTCTGTCTTTTTCTTCTTTCTAACAATCAACGGAAAATATCCTCGGGGGAGAATTAAAAAGGCCACCTGGCCTCAGTCACACTGCAAACAACCCCTTCATCTTTGGAACGCTTTTCCCCTTTCACAAAGCACACCACGCACGCCCAGTGATCACAGGGACTCTGGAGGCGGGACAGGTCTCCATGGGGCAGAGAGACAGGCACAGGCTCTGCGCGCTAAGCTTCGGCGGGGAGTGAGAAATAGGCGGTCCGCCCCAGGAGGGGCTGTGCCTCGGTTCGTCTGTCTGTGGGTCCGAGTGCAGCCGGGAACCAAAGCTAAACGCTGAAGGACTTGGTCCGCCCCGGCACTGTCCTCACTGAACGCGATGACCTCGGCCGCTGAGCTTTAAAGCAAGCGCGGGCGGGACGGTGGGAAAGCACGCCGGCGGAAACGGACAGCTGCCAGGCAGAAGGGAAACGCATTCCAGGACGTAAACACTGGGATGAGAGCTGAGCGCGGCCTGGGAAGTTATAGGCTCAGCCTAATAATAGCACCGCTGCGCTCTCCGTTTCTGCAATCCCCTCGGAGCACACGGAGAGCCGCGGAGCGGCCGCCTGCGGAGGTCAGGGCCGTTCTGTAAGGAGCCTGAAGCCGTGCGGAGCCGAGGCCATGAGTGAAGCGAGTGACGGCACCGATTCACTCAATCGGGGTCAGAAACGAGGCCGTTTCCCCCAAGAGAACCAGACCTGGCACTGAAGGTAATGCCAAAGGAAGAGTGATGAAATGGTGGGAATCAGAATAAATATTTAACATTGTAAGTAGACACTATCTTTGCCTTCTTGCAAATACGCTGAAAGTTCTATGGAGACACAGTGGAAACCTTGGCTGAGGGTCTCTGAGAAATAGTTCTTAACTGACACTGGATGGCAAAGTACCTACAGAGGCTGAGAACCGCAGGCAGGGTCGTCTGAGACCATCGGAAAACACAGGTATTTACATTACGGTTTGTAACAGTGGCAAAACGACAGCTATGAAGGAGCAACTGAAATAACTTTACGGTGGGGGTCACCACCGCATGAGGAGCTGGATCACAGGGCCGCAGCATCAGGAAGGCGGAGAACCACAGGCGTAGAGGGTTTTTGTGGTTTGGGACAGTGTCTGCATCTCTCATTTCAGAATCTCAGTGGAACCCGGAGTTCACGTGGAGGGAGCACAGACTAGGCTGCGCACTGAGGTCGGGGGAGAGGTGAGGTGGGGAGAGGTGAGGTGGGGAGAGGTGAGGTGGGGAGAGGTGAGGTCGGGAGAGAAGTGAGGTGGGGAGAGGTGAGGTGGGGAGAGGTGAGGTCGGGGAGAGGTGAGGTGGGGGAGAGGTGAGGTGGGGAGAGGTGAGGTGGGGAGAGGTGAGGTGGGGAGAGGTGAGGTCGGGGGAGAGGTGAGGTCGGGGGAGAGGTGAGGTCGGGGGAGAGGTGAGGTCGGGGAGAGGTGAGGTCGGGGGAGAGGTGAGGTGGGGAGAGGTGAGGTCAGCTCTGCCACAGGCCAAGACGAACCCTCGTGAGGGAGGGGAGCCAGACAAGGTCCGCTCAGCCCCATCCTGACCCAACCCCCAGCCAAGCTCTTACCAAACTGCAGTTTTAAATAAATGCGCAAACCATTACAACTCAGCTTCCAATGTCCCTCAAACCAGTGCCACAAGCCACAGGGCATCATCCACAGCACGGCCAAGTGCCCACTACCCACCACGCACCCACTGCCCACCGCCCACTGCCCACCACACTGCCCAGGGCCCACCACCCAGCACCCAGCACCCACAGCACCACCCAGCCAGCGCCCACCACCCACCGCCCACAGCACCGCCCGGGCCCACCACCCACCGCCCACAGCACCACCCAGCGCCCACCACCCAGCGCCCACAGCACCGCCCGGGCCACCACGCTCCCCCGCAGTCCTGCCCGCGAGGCCCTCACCTCGTAGGCGTCCTTGATGTTGAGCGGCTCGCCGCAGGCGGCCACGTGGCCCACGATGCCCTTGTTCCACTCGAGGCGGATGCAGCTGCTGGACGCCTGCTCCAGCGTGGAGCCCTCGGCCACGTCGAAGAGGCGGCTGACCAGGAACTTGTCGTTGGAGCTGTCCTCGCACACCAGGAAGAGCGAGTAGCGGTCGGCGGCGATGAGGCCGTGGATGTGCAGGAAGATCTTGTGGCAGAGAGCGGCCACGTCCAGGTGGCTGGAGATGTCCTTCACCAGCTCCAGCAGCCGGGCGCACCGGTCCCCGTCGCCGCCGCGCTCGAAGCGGCGGGCCGGGAGCGGCATCTGCTGCTGCTGGTCCGCGTCTGAGAGGAAGCTGACGGCGCCCTCCGCGTCCTTGACCACGATGGGCCGCAGCGGCCGGTCGAACTCGGAGGCGGAGATCTTGCGGGCGGGGGTGCCCGGGGCGCCGGCCTCCACGCGGGGGCCGGGCTGCGGGGGGCTCGGGCAGGACTCGGCGCGGCCGCGGGCGCCCTCCTTGCCGACGGGGATGGCGTGGACACGCTCAGAGAACCAGGCGTTGACCATCTCCCTGAAGGACAGAGCGGGCAGTTACCTCCGGGCCAGGGACGGGGCGCCCCGAAGCTGCAGACCCCCCACCAACGCTCCGGGGAACGGTCCGCTGTGCCATCGGGAATGTGAACAAGGCAGCTTACTACGGCAGCCGCTTTTTGAAAAAAACTATAGAGAACCATTGGTCAAAGGACACTGAAGTTAAATGTGATTTAAAATATGACGTCCATGCACATGGCTGCAGATGTCTGACCTACAACACACCAAACCCATCACGTCTGCTTCTCCAAACCAGCGGAGATTCCCGCATCAGGCTGCACTGGACGATGCGCTCAGGAGACAGACATGCGGAGGTCAGTTTGTCGTTTAAAACAAACTCGTTCTGAAGTTAAGCCTTGGAAGTTAAAAGCCAGCGTGGAGCTAAGTTTGTCTCGCTGACAGGCTCGCTGCTGGACGGCTTTCTCCATGTCACTGCACACGGATTCGATTGAGAAGAGAAAATGATCAGCAATGTGATGGGGCTGCAGGAAGACCGTGGACTTCCGTGGACTTCCCCGGCCACGGCCTGCGCGGAGCCGAGCAGGAACTTCCCTCCTCCAGACTGTCAGCTGGTGGAAAGGTGATGACTGTAAAGTAGGCAATCCTTAGGTTCACACATTCAGCCCAAAGCTTTAAACCATTCGTTGCTAACGTGCTCTCCTGCGAAGGAAACCTACTGAATACCCACCCCGCACATCAAGGCGTGGCTGATTCAAAACCCCCCTCCTTGCAAAGCTGTCCTCTCTCACTAACCGGCAGTGCCATTCCTATAGGCATTTTAAAGCTCTTCTTTTGAGACTAACTTCCAAGGAAACCCATAAGCCGCAGAAGAACATGTTTATCTACAAGTTGGACTAGTCTCTCAGGAAGCCTCTCCCCAAACAAACAAGTAAAACAAAACCCCCCCTCCCCAAACCTAGAGGAACAGCTCCCTCAGAACCCAGGTTGTAAGGCTTGACGTTTTCCAAAAGGAAAATTCACCTTCCGAAGATAAACATTTCAGAGCGTTTGCCTGCGGCGCGAGTCGCGCAGCCGGCACCCGTGGTAACACATGGTTACCTGCCAAATGGCCCGGCAGGAACGGCCTGGCCCTCACCGCCGTGAGGAGCGACCTCTCAGACGGCAGTGAGCAGCCATACCTCCTCTTTGGGGGCCACCAGCCATATCGAACAGCTTTAAAACGCATCTGTCCATGTCCCAGAGGCGGCACGGGGTGCCGGACTCGCGACAGCCGGTTTGTGAGCGCAGAGATCAGAACCACCTCACCCCACCGGAGGCTGCCCACGCGCACTACGCCCGTGAGCCGGCGGGACAAGTGGCCGACGCGGACAGAGGCGCGTGTGGGATGTGGATGATCGCCACCACTGACTGGGCGGGAAAGGAGGTGTGGGAGGAGGGCGGAGGAAGAGCCTGCCTTACCGCAGAGCACACCATGGGGTGTTCCCTTCATCATTTTACTGTGAGCAAACACGGAGAAATGCTCCCAGTCCAGCACGGAACGGGGAAAGAAGGTAGCAGATATTGTAAGGATGACCCACAGTTTTAAGTGATGGGCACAGTTATCAGAGCCCTGTGAAGCTCTCTGTAAGGGACCAGAGTGGGCAGGTCTACTGCACAGACCACAAGCACAGCCTTCAAAAAGGGCACGTGTGCTGCCCTGGCCGGTGGCTCCAGTGGTTGAGGTTCATCCTCTGCCCCCAAAGACTGCAGGGCACATACCTAGGTCCTGGGTTTGATCCCTGGTCAGGGCCCATATGGGAGGCAACCGATCAATGCTTCTCTCTCACATCGATGTCTCTCTCTCTCTCTCATCTCTCTCAATATATCTTCAAGTGAGGATTAGAAAGAATTAAGTGTCCTGATGCTTTATAAATCCATGTTGTGGCTTAGAACAAACAGTGACAACAAATGCATTGATTAAAATAAGGCTGTGTCTTCAAACACGGACGTGAGATACCATACTCTGCGAAAGGTCTCTGCCCCCCACAATCACACCGTGGGGTCCGACATTGGTGCCAAAGATGCACCAGCCTCTCAAAAGGCAGGCGACTCCAGAATAAAACCATCCTGTCCAATGTGAGGCAGGGAGAAAGCACTGTCTACAAGAACACGTGTCACGTGACTTAACACATGTACATGGAACCTACACTGTTCAACCAACATAGGCATTTTAACCATTTCAGCTACAAATCTCAACCTTAGCCACAGCATATCTTACCTTCTGACCGGAAGATGGCGATGAGCTTTTTTCTTTAATCAAACCACCTTCTATCCCAATCTGTTCACTTCCACCTCCTGCCCTCCACCTGGCCAGAGCCCACCATGCCCCCTGGAGGTGGCCACGGCCCCTCCTGGTCAAAACCCCCCCCCCCCCCCCCCGCTCCCCATATTACTCCGTATTCCCCTATTATAAATGGCCCTTTCAATCCTCTCTCCACCCAAAGGCAAGTAATCTTGTCACAAAGTGGATCTTAGCATCTTCTGTTGTTGTTGTTCATCCTCACCCGAGGGCATTTTTCCCATTGATTTTTAGATTTTTAGAGAGTGGAAGGGAGGGAGGGATTAGAGGGAAGAGACAGAGACAGAGAGAAACATCCATGTGAGAGAGACACATGGAGTGGTTGTCTTAGGCAGTGTTTTTCAACCTTTTTTGGGCAAAGGCACACTTGTTTCATGAAAAAAATCACAAGGCACACCACCATTAGAAAATGTTAAAAAATTTAACTCTGTGCCTATATTGACTATATATAAAGTAATTCTCTTGAATAGGAATCAAATAAACACAAAGAAAGTATTTTATAATTACTTTATTATGAAATATTAAGTAAACAAAATAGTGAAAAATTATAAAATTCTTGTCTTGTCTGCATCTCGCGGCACACTAGTGTGCCGCGGAATAGCGGTTGAAAAACGCTGGTCTTAGGCATTTGCCCTGACCAGAGCAGGCATGTGCCGTTGACAGGGAATCGAACCTGAGACCTGTCAGTGCGAAGGCTAGCACTCTAACCACTGAACAGCACCAGTAGGGGTGATCTTAGCATCTTCACTACCCCACTTGGCTTCTCACTCGAACTGAGAATGGAACCCAAACTCAAGCACACGAAGCTCTACATGTGCCCAGTCTGGGCCCCTCTCCCCTCCCATCCCCTGGCTGATCACAGCTCTCTCCGCTCCCATCCCCTGGCTGATCACAGTTCTCCCCGCTTCTCCCCCGCTCAGCCAGGCCCTCCCTGACCCAGCTAATGTGCCTCCAGCACAGCTGGTCTCACCAACCCCACCCAGTTCTCCCTGAGGGTCACTGATCCTGGTTATTAACCAGGATTGTCTGTCTTCTCCCACCAGAGCGACCTGTCCGTCCCATTCCCTGCTCAGCCCTGCGCTTACTGATTTCAGGGAGGAAAGGAGCGGTAGAGAGAGAGAGAAACCTCAATGATGAGAATCATGGATCGGCTGCCTCCTGCAGGCCCCATGTGGGGGATGGAGCCCCCAACTGGGACAGGTGCTCCGGTGGGGAATCGAACCGAGGCCTCCTAGCTCACAAGTTGATTCGCAACACCTGAGCTATGCCGGCCCGACAGAGCTCAGCAGGCAGTTCCCGAGAGAATCAGGAAAAGGTCCTAAGGTAACTGCCTCGCAGGAACAGCAGGCCGTGGATGTCCGAGAGCCCGCACTCGCACTCAGAAATCAGCACCCCCGTTAGCAGTTCCTGCTCCCCGCCCCTGCGAGGCCCTCCCCGCGGGCCCGTGTGCGCCTCAGACAGAGGCGGGGCTCACCTCCGTCCCGTGTCTTTGCTGCTGAATTTAATGGGCTCACACGTGTTTGCCGGGAGAGAGGAACTCCGTGTTAAATGACACAGGACATTCAGTCATTCAATCGACCATTTCCATCAACCACAATCACGGGGGAGGGGCTTTCTCGCAACCACATTCTCAGTGATCTGCTGCCTGGAGCGCCGTGTGCGCAGGAAAACACACGTGACGATGACATCACAACAGCCAGTCAGGAACCGACCACAAGGAAGGGGATGCAGCCTCGCACCCATCGCGCCCCTCGGCGGCTTGTGTGGCTGCTGGAGGTGACACCAGCCCTTTCCCTTCAGACGGATGGTCCTCCCGCCCCTGGACCCTGTCCGGCGCCAGTCACCTGGGATGGAAGTTAGAATTCTCCCGCGAGATGTGGACTTGCTCGCAGGGGGCAGAGGACGCGGGGCACATTCTCCTGGGACACAAGCCGCGGGCGGCAAAGGGTGTGCCTGTTACCGGGCAGCTAGCGCGAGGAGGGAATGACATCCGGGAACTTGAAAAGAGAATTCTAGCCCAAACCGGTGTGGCTCAGAGGATAGAGCATCGGCCTGCGGACTGAAAGGTCCCAGGTTCGATTCCGGTCAAGGGCATGTATGTTGGTTGCGAACACATCCCTGGTAGGGGGTGTGCAAGAGGCAGCTGGTCGATGTTTCTCTCTCATCAACGTTTCTAACTCTCTATCCCTCTCCCTTCCTCTCTGTGGAAAATCGATAAAATATATTTTTAAAAAAAGAATTCTACTCTAATAACTACTATCTGGATTAAGAAAGGCCCTTGGGAAGGCGGAGGAAGTCTTCATGTATTAAATATTTAAGAGCAGTGTTTTGGGGGAGAAAAAGGTTCTCCTGATCCAGGTGTGAACGTCAGGCTGGGCGAAAAGCTATTGTGTATGGTACGACTTTGCCAGGAAATTCACTGCTTATTCTAAAGATTAGCATTGAGTGTGCTCGATCATCCAAACTTTATTACATCTAAAGTAACTTTACCTTCATAACCTGCAGTTCCACTTTTTAAGACAGAGTCTCAAACAAAACCCTTTCTCTGATATTTTTCTACTTTAATTGGATTCCTTTGCTTCTGGAATAAATTATTCTCTGGGGGAGATCCCTGGGCTGGTCCAGGGCACCAGGGAAACAGCTCACTGTGACCCCGTGTACCACGACCCGGTGTACCAGCC